GATTTCAGGGGGATATGATTTTCTGGGTAATGAAAAAGCGATACAGACAAGTATGGAAGACAGTAACGTTTGAATTAAGATCGTCTCTGAGGTCAAACCCTTGTAATTATTCCATCTCATGTATTGTCAAATCAATGGGATAATCAAGTTTCATTCAATTTACCATATGTAAGTAGTTAACCCTGCCCCCTCTACTGGTTTACCTTTCAAATTTACAATGACAGTGACATTGTAGGGAATATTATGTTTCTTAGCAACCTTGTTGCCTATCTTAGCAACTGTCCTGCCACGGGGAGGCTGGTTGGCTGTAATAGACCCACTGCGCAATTAGAGTGATAAACTCGGTGATGAGGTAGCCTCATAACTAATCTAAAATGAAAGACTATGGTATATTGTATTGTGAAATGTGACCTTATCCCTGCTCAGCATTACCTCGAAATTTGTCCCGATAAAGGGGGGAAATGGTGTACTTTGATGATAAATAGATAGATATTCCTTGCATTAAGATGTAATGTGGGATATATTGTAGCAGGAAACAAGGACACATATCTACAACAATAGAAGTTTTGTCAAATCTCACATATATTCTTAAAAGGCATTGGGAGGAAATGTTTATCTGTTGAATTAAAGCCACTTAAAACAAATTTTGTAAAATTACCCACATGAGTATACCATGTTAAATGGCATTTAATCTGTAGTACTTGGATGAAAAACAGTGAAATTTCAGATCACACACACAGTTTAATTAAGGCAAGGGATTGCAGTGAATTTAGTTTCTCCTGAACAAATTAAGAAAAAAAATGTTGAAAATTTTAGGAACAGATTTTTAAATGAATGAAAGGATTGCATTTTAAATCTGATTAAAAAGTATGTTTTACTGAAGTATTTTGAAACCATGGAGTTCTTCCATTGCCTTGAATTAAAAATAAAATTTAAAAATAATTATTTTGGTAATTTATCTTTACTTCAAGTAATCATAGAAAGGAAGGATTGTTGGAATCAACTAGTAACCCCCCCCACACACACACACAAACACACATACAGACAAACACACAAATACATTTGTAATGGATGAGATAATTTGGTAATAAAAGCAACTTGAACTGTGAATAATATTTGAATTAAAGTGAACCTTGGATAAAAATTTTCAAGTCATTAAGCATTCCTGCCTCACATTCAATAGTTCAGAGATCTCTATGAGGTTTCTACACCCAAAGACAGTTGAAAGTGTGTGTGATTCAATTATAGTAATGATAATGAAAAAAAATGGACATAAACTTGTTACCAAACCAAGAGGTTAATTGGTAAGTAAATAAGGAACCAAACAGACAAATAAGAAATTAATAAGAAACAAATGAAAGTAAAACAGATAAACAGAAAAAAAAAAGAAAAAGAAATGAATATAATGGAAAAAGAAAGGATTGTAAAACAATACTGTAATATCTAAGATAATGAAAATAAGTATAAAGAGTAGTTCAACGAATGGATGATTTTTTGCCCACTGGTAAAGGGCATGCAACTGGAAAATAGCAAACTATCCACCCAAACGGTATAATCCACTGGTTTATTAACATGTGCATTTCCGTCAGTTTGAACAGCAATCCAGGGCTCGTGAGGTAGTGTCGGGAACAATAAGTCTTTACCTTTTCAAGGCTATATGTTTCCCAGTGCTCCAACCTCTGCGATAGGGTTCACAGGGCAGCATTGAGCACGACCAATGATAGATAAGCTTGTAAATCAGGTTTCAGATATTAATTTTAAAAGGAAGCCGATGTTTCAATGCATTGCAGGATTCCTATAGTTTTCCCTGAACAGCGGGAGACGAAGAAGGCAATTTATTATACTGACACCCCTTTAATGGGGGAGAAATTGGAAACTCCGTCAAAAAATGAATATAAATAAAATATGAATTAGGTAAGTATGTATTGGGGAGTAGGTATGCAAGGTTTGGGTATTAAATGACGGGATTTAAGCTTAACGAACAATAGGCCTGGTATATCTGGAGGGTTGCTGGTATCAAAAGAACTTTTTAAAAAAATGCTGGTTATTGTATGTTGGGAGATAAAATATTAAATGCCTTTCAAAAATCCTGATGAGATCAGAATATATCAGGAAATAATGCCCTATTTCTTATGCTGGTACATGAGCGTGAAGAAGCGGGCGATATTGGAGAGTGTGAGGAGAACAATGGAAGCCCCACAGCACCTGAGAATGCATGTGATCCACCTAGAAATCCATAACAATACCCCCAAATTTGAAGGAGAATCTGTTTTATGGACAATGTTGGAGGGCAGAAAAATGTTGGAATTGCTTTGGAGTGACTTTCAGTTTTTAAGTGTGGGCTTTATTTCCAAGTTTCCTTATTTCTATTGTTCTTTTTGGAATAGTGCCTTTTAACCATTTTTTGTTAAATAAACATAATAAAAATGTTTGTTCTCTATTTCCCTTTTGAATGACTCCTTGTTTTAACAGACCACAGTGATTTGAATCTCATCTATAGATTAAAAAATGGAAAAAGAGAAAAAAAGATCAGGTAAACGATCTTGCAGTCTGGAAATTGCATAACAGGGTATAGACACAGTGGAAACAGATTGAAAAAAAGGAACCCCTATTCTTATTTTCATTTGAATTTTGCCAAAGGGCGCTACCGTGTCAACGAACACACATAATATTGCGTAAAGAAAGGTGAGAATGATCATAGACTGCGTCTGTTTTGATTCACTTCTTGCCAGGAACACAGTCTCTGAGTGAAAACAGAGGCTGCCGAGGAAAGAGAAACAGATTTGCAAGACTTGACTGATTTTTGGTGGTTGACTTATTGTACTTTTTTGGATAGATGCTCTTAAGACATCCAAATAAAAAATGATGTTTACAATTGTTATTTGGATTAAGCTTTCACTCCCTTTGTTTTATTCTTTTTCTTGTGAATTATGAGTGTAGTAATGCATAAAAGATATTTTCCTCCTCATAAATGCTCTTAATTATATACTTCTTAAACTCCAGAATGCACATATACATGTACCAACTGGATGTTTTTTGTTCTGACCAACTTTACGAAAATAAATAATATTACTTTTTTTAGGGAACGGCAAATTTTTCATCCATTAAACAAATTGTACTTCTTTTACTTGAACCAACCATGAACCGACTCGATTATATTATTTCAATCTGCAAAAGGTGAAGGAATAGATTATTATTTTTGAGGAGTTCCCAGATGTGTTATGAATGTTGGTGTGGTTATTTGTCATCTATGCCAGCACCTTTGATGTGGTGAGCCACGTGTATTTGAAAGATAAAACTGGAATCCCGACTTATTTCTACTAATATAGCAGTCCTGTAAGAAGGGGGGGGGGGGGGGGGGAGTGGAAAAACTGCCCTTTTTTGTACAGAAAACTGCTTCTCTGAGTCTCAGTCAAAATTTAACCTGTAGGTTCAAATCAGATGATAAAGAACTCCACTTTTTTAGGGAAAAAAAACAAAATTAATGGCTACTGATCTGTCTTGTAAATTGAAAATTTTGATATTTTATTTTGGTAAGGAAATGTCTAAGATTCAGCAGAGGAGGATGATTAAGGAATTTCAGTAGAATCAGACTGTCATATTGCTGAGCATTGCACATCATGTAACTGGTGTCTTCCTTATTATCCCCTTCATTGTTTTAATGGGTTATTCTTTAGATTGAAACAGTGAAAATAAATATCATGGTGATGGTTGCAGTATTGTGCTATGAAAGTTGAGAACACAGGAAAAACTTCTTCTCAGTTGAATATCAAAATAAAGTATTCCAAGGACTTCTCAGGCACTGAAAAATAACTTACAAAATTTGAAAAAAGTAATGAAGTGTTCAAGATCTTATCTTTATGCTTGAAAACATAAAAGCAAACAGATATTTGACATTTCATTTATTGAAACAAATTGAGATGGTTTTTAAGTTAAGTTTCATAGTGTGAAAAAAGAGTTGTTTTGTTGAATAAATACAAGTTTTTTTAAACATATAAGTAGAATACAGAAAATATAAAAATAATAGTTGGACTCTTAGACTAAATGTTTTATGTTAGATTTTCAAGAACTGTAAATAAAAAAGAGTTGATTCAGTGTAGAAACAACTCAATTTTTGCTATAAACTTAATGTAGGAAACTTTAATAAAGAACTTTCCATTAATCTGATTTGTTGGTCTTATTGTAATGCATTTGAGAATTAGGTGAAGAAATTATGCAGACGATTAATACTCGTAGAGTTTTAAAAAGCAATTACATTGATCTTATATGCTAAATGGCCCTCTCTTTTGCAATAACAGCCCCAAAGAAATGAGAATATAATGAACAATTTGGCACATGCCAAAAATTTCACATTAATAATATATTCATTTGTGATGGTAAAACCTCAGAATGGCTGTAAGGGTTGCCTTAAGAGGGACATCAAACGTCCATTTTGCTGGATGACATCACATTATTTTCAGCACATGTTGGTAGCTTTGATGGAGACTTGAGGTAAAAGTTAAATGCAAATTAAATCAAATGTTTTTAAAATATTATTTCCATAAAACTCCTTTGATGGTTAAGAAAGAGACATCAGTTGGAGAAATTATCACATTTAGGTTTTATTGAAAATGAGCTTAAAATATTAAATGTGTGTTGATATTCAAATAAGCAGATGAAATGTTACCTGTGTCATTTTGTGCCAGTTGGGGCCAAGAAATATCCTTGTATATGAGAGGATTGAAAGAGTGCTTTCAAAGATCTCGAAGGCACTCCTTTATAAGTATATGTATATTGTTAAGTGTTACAGGGTTTAGAGATCTCTTTGGCAGCTTTTGCAACTGGTGTGCAGATTGTTGCTTTTTTTGTATGTAGTCATGTTCAGTTCTTCAAAAAACATTCTGAATTTGAAAGAGAAAAATTGAAACACTGCACTACCTTTGAATGTGTAATTTTCAGGAAGAGGCTTGAGCTGACATTTTCTTGTAAAGTATTTAATAGAATTTCACTCATCTTTTCAGGTGATGGTGAAATGTCTCCAGTGGTGGAAACTGATGATGCTCACGTCTGTGGGATCTGCCGTGCACAATTCTACGACCTGTCAGATTTCCTGACTCACAAAAAGAACTGTAGCTCCAAACGAATCGTCGTTATCGCAGACGGCGAGGATAAAAATCAAAAAGACTCAGATGAAGCAAATATCATGAAACAGAATGACAACAGCCAGATTTTGGCACCCTCTAGCACCAGCAGTGTAATTTCTGAAGATGACAAAATGGAGCTGGAGATGAACGCAGCTGCCATGTCAGAAGACCCAGAATCAAAACTAAACCAAAATCAAAATGACAACGATGACTTGTTGGATGAGGAATTTGATCAAGACGCAGAAGATGAATTTTCAAAGATGGACGACAGCATGGAAGAAGATGATGTGGATGAGTTATCAAATATGGGAATCAAAATGTCTGACCTGGACGAACAAGATGTCATCTCCAGCAGATTTCTACCTCAGTACGGATGGCCTCCCATCACACAACCCTCCCTGACCTCGTTGTTGCCTAGCAACAATGTGAAGCTGGAACCCCTCGAAGGAACCAAAGCTGCAGTTTCACAGTTTGTTGAGAACAATGCTAATCCCTCAGATCTTCTGTTTCTCCATGCTACCTTGAGTTCTCTGCAACAACAGCAATTGATACAGTTGACTCTGATCCAACAATTACAACATCAGATCATGACGGGAATACCTGCCAAGTCAGATGGGCAGACGTCGCCCTCACAGTCTGCCATGGCTGCCCTGACAGCTAGTGCCCTCAACCCAAATATTAGTCCTAGCTACGCCCTGCCACCCACCTCTGTGGCAACACCCAGTGGTGCCTCGTTGCCGCAAGGTGCCTCATCGGTACCACTGATTAATGGCACCACCATAGTGACCACCCAAGAGAAGGAGTCATCTTCGAGCTCGTCGGCCATGAGCAACATAATATCTTCACTGTCTAACCCATTCCTTGCCAAGAACGAACCCCAGACTGTGTCTACGACAGTGTCGCCAATTACTTCACCGTTTATTAGAGAGCTTACAAACTTGCGAAAAGGTATGGCTTTATTTTGCTTTGAATTATATTTCGATAATTAAAAGATCACTATCTGTTTATTTGTATTAGTGCCTGGCTGTTGTTACTCTGATATTTTCTGTGCATCTTGTTTCTAAATATGTGTTCTTTTTCATGTCACCACTCGCTCTTTCTCTCTCTCATCTTTACCTTGTTTTTTTTTTTGCTTAATGGCTGATTACAGCTTCAGTTGAATGACCAAATTAGTGAATCCCCTTTGAGTGTTTAAATAGCATTACAAATTGTCTGATGGTGTATTCTCGTATTGTTGGGGGAAAAAAGCATTTAGATAAAACAGAGACCAATTGGGATATGTCCAAGGTTCTGTCACAGTTTGATCTTTTTCTTTGTTTTATATCCCGGCCTAGCTACAAAAATAAGTGGATTTGGGCCACTTCTGTAACTACTGGTCAGTTTCTTTGTTTGTCAAGGTTCAAAAGTTTAATCTTTATCTAACCACAGGGAAAAAAAGAAAAGAAAAAAGAATAAGAGGTAAAGAAAGCAAAAGGCAATAAAAGCATGAAAAAAAGAACGATTAGGCCATTTGTAATGTCTGGCAGCTAAAAGAAGTTATATCTTCTTTCTCTGGACTCTAATTTTGTCTTGGCATACATGTCAAATTAAGAACTTCAATAACAGACTAGCCGAGAAAAAAAATCCCGAAAAAATAGCACAGTTCATAGGAGATTCTGGTAAAAGATATAACCAGAGATTAGAAAAAAATTAAATGCAGTTCAGCAGTAATTGGTACAAGGTTTGTTATTGGGCGTATTTCAGTGGCAGTGTATTTAAATTATCCAATGATTTGCTCTGATTTAACATCCTTTTTTCGCAGACTAAAACTCTATGAGGGTTCTTGTGCCCCTGAAATGCCTGTATATCAAAATTAAAGTTTTGTTTATCTAATAAATCCTAGGTGACTTTTAGGTGGTTCGGTAGAGCCTGAAGGCTGATAAGAATTACCGCAGATTTTTTTTGTGAAGTCAATTCAAGTAGTACAAATGTATATATCCAGTGATGCTCTTATGGTTTCTGTAATGCCAATTTTTCCACCATGGTGACTTTTGGCAAGAATAGCAAGTAACTTGATTTGGAAAATTTGGAGAAATATTTTCACCCATTCAAGAATAACTGGTTTAAATCTTGATATTTTATCTGGAGGCCAAGCTTCAGCAGATGTTATTGAGGATCGTTTTTCAGTCGGTTTCATTGGTTCTTAATGCTAACAGTCGGGCTGATTTTTTGTGGTGGTTTTGAGTGTTCACACTGGCATAACTCATAAAGTAACGTAATAGGGGCTCACTGCCGAGGCCCTCTTTGATCCGTTCAAAGTGGGCAACTTTATTAAGAACTAAAGTCTGTCCTGATGGCAAAATGTAGAAAATAATCCCAATATAAAGATCGCAACCTCGGTGTAATATCATTGACAAGCTTTTTGTCCCATTTCTCTTTGATGTCCTCCAAGCATAGAAGAAACTCTACCTCTGTTTGTGGCAGATTCTGATAGATTTGACAAGATGAGAAGTTTAAGGGACCCCGGATCTTTTCTTTGGTGAAGATATTTATCGATTGAGAGAGCATACCGATTATGGCCGTAGATATCATAATTGTATATTCTATTCCATGATTGTGTATTCTATATAGACTGACACACAGTCAAGAGGGCCCATGTTTACACTTGATGGTGTTGGAAAGATTTATTGACTTGCCCATGCTGGGGCTTCTTACACTTGCCAGGGGCCAGTAACATGGATAATTAGGAGGATGACATACAAACCCATGTTGAGAGGCTCCTGTGGTTGAACTGAGGCCCTGGGTGGTGTATGGCTATGAAATTTATCTAATGCATTCTGTTTCTAGTTGGTAGGTTGCAAAGAGATGGGATGCCCTGTTGGGTCTCGCTGCTCAAACTGCAGTAGGCCAATCACAGGCCCTGACCTGCCACCGCAGAAATTCAGCAGTTTCATGCTCAACTGATGTGTTCCTCGTCAAATTTAATAAGAACTTACTGCTGAGAACAGAGCCGAGAGATAAAAAAATTACATTGTCTGCCGTCTTTGTCTGTGTTTATATAATTGTGGGTACTGCACAGTATACTTATGTTGATTTTTTCCTTTTATTTTGGAAACCTGATTTTAATGACTCAAAGGGAGAAAAGCTCTCTGTTTTAAAATGATATGAGGTTGCTATGTTATTTGGCATGACCTGTTTTCTTCAAAAAACCGTAAGAGGATTAATGAAAGATTTCAAAGTAAGGAAAAAAATGAACTCAGTTTACAACTGTGAAATTTAAGCATGAAAGAAATCTTGTGTGCAGAAGTTATAAATTGCTTTGTTTGGTGTGCTGTTACAAAGGCCTGGGTGTTCTGAGTCATTTTATGATATATATATTTCATAAACCTGAGATGAGGGGAGGTATGTGTAGAAGACATAAACATCACATTTTATTACTGTCATGTGAATTTATTTCCCATGTGCGATTTATCATTAAACAAATATCCCTGGCTGGTGGGAGGCTGTCGAAAATCTAATTGTTATTAAGCATCTACAAGTATTAGTGCAGAAGGGCTCTCAATTGTTTTAAAATGTTGATTACTGACATTTGTCTAGGTTTCAACAGGGCATAGAATACCTTTCAACAAACACGGTTCAAAATGAGCTCAAATTACCCATAGGACCTGTGCTGCCACCTTTAGTGAACATATCTTATTATAAAAAATCATATGGGAGAAGGAAAAGCTCTACTAAAAATGACCAGACCCCGAATATTTTTTTCTCTAAAGGAACTGTATTATTAATTGCTTTTTAAACTGAAAACGACAGTCTGACATATTGTGCCAGACTCTTATAGATCAGCACAGCCCCCTTTTACATATAAGCTGTACTTAGTCTTTAACTTAGTTTGGGCAAAACACTTTGGTTCTGTAGTATATACTTTTTTTCTGTTGAAGCAGTCTCAGAAATATTCATAATTCTTTGCCGAATTGGCATGGATGGGAATGGCTGATCTATTTGACCCATAACTCAGTGGCTACAAATTAGTGCCAAGTGCTTCCTTCCTGAGTAATGTGAATGTTTTATGGCTGACCTGGAGTTTTATGGATCCATCTTCAATCTCTGCCCAGAGAAATAAGTGAAATAAAGGAAATTATATCTGCAGAGAAATGAACTTTATGGTATTTCGTTGAACTGTGGAAGGAGGTGGAATGGCAAGGTGTTTTCCGGCTCAGTTGGAATGTCTGCTTACTTGCTTGTTTTTACTGCTGAAGAATGAAAACAAAAATCAGATTTTTATTGCTTCTTTGCTTAATTGCCTTTCTATCTATTAACTGTATTTTCCTCTTGAAGCTCATATATTGCCACATACACGCATTGTGATGTACTGATTTTGTGTGTTGTATTTTTTTTTTGTATCTCTCTCTCTTTCTCAGATGGGCATACTCACACTGACACATACACACACACACACACACACACACACACACACACATACACACACACACACACACGCTTTTTTCAAACTTTTTCATGATTTTAGGAATTTTACTGCCATGAAAAGTAAATGAAGAAATATGAAAAACATAAATGGTGGGAACAAAGAAAAATTAATTTTTTTCTTCACTGACATCTCGCTCACATGCTCGGGCCATATTCAGAAAAGCTGAGAAAACAAGTCCATAGTTTACATTGATGGTCTAACCTATGTTCATTCCTCTAGCTTTAATAATTCTTGTATATATTGCTTGTGTTGTTTATGGATTGTCTGAGGAGTCCAACACAGCCAATCTACAGTGTTGGGCACATTCACACCGTGCCCAGAAAGTTCTCAACTGAATGTGTCCAACTTACATAGTGAAAGGTAATTTTTAGAGAAGTCCAGGTCCAATCAGTGTTAAGTCCAAGGCATACTTTTTATCTGTTGTGTAAGGAATAGAATGCAACCTATAAACAGAGTTCATTGGAGTTAAGATTGTTTGAACAAGGTCATTCTGATGCAAGTGGATTCATATTTGAACCGTCTAAATCTAGTGTGAACTGGATTGTATGTTTTTTTCCTCAGCCTGGACATGTATACACCAATAAACAAACAACATTCCTGCAGAGATAAAGCTGCATTAGAATACCAATGGCTGAAAAATGGCTTTTCAAGGTATAAATCCATACTGAAGCACAAAAGTTCATAACTAATCCCAGAAAAATCCTGGTGATTTGATTATATTTAAATAAGGTGGCTCACATTGAGTTGAACTAGTTGATTGAAGTCATATATTAGCTTTGTCTTGAGGAGTCTGTGTGTTCTTTAGATTTTATGGATGTTTACCTTTTCATTGAAAGATTTGCATTATTTAGAAAACATTTTTGAACAATGATCAGGAATATATGTAAATCAAATTCGGGAATGTACATGGTAACATTCAATGACCAACCAACCAACCAGCATTGTGGTTTCACCCTGGCACTTTTCATTGTATAATGACCTAGGTGGACTGGTCACCTTTTAAGTGCCATACATCAATCGGTCGCCAAATTTTTTGCTTCGTAAGTTCCAGAATTTTATTCTATTTCTGCTTGATGACTGAAAGAAAAAATAATAAAAATAATAAATAAGAATAAAAAAAATTGATTTTTGGAAAAATGTCAGAAAATACAGAAAAATGTCAGAAAATACAATGTTGCTTTAATAATGCTTTAGAGAATTTTGTATTTGGCAATTTTTTTTATTAAAATGATTTTGTCTTGTTACTTTTGTGATATATTTCACAGTTAGTCTCTAAGTCATCAGTTTTTTTCCTTTTTGCCTATGGGCCCAGTGTTGATAAATGGATTAAAATCCTCAAAAGAGTGTATATTGACATTTGGAACTTTTGAAACCTATGAAAGCAGATATCAAATGTAAAATATTTTATTCTTTTGGAAATGCATTCTGGAGATAAACTAACTTTGGCTCCTCTCATACTTGACATGGAAACCACCCAGATTATTCATTTTCAGGAAAACTTCCTCGTGGATTAAAAAGAAGTTGAAAACACTCGAAACCATTTGCATGTTTAATGCAACTTAAGAAGTATTAAAAAATCATCTATTCAGTCAACTTCTAACAAGCCATAGGAGGTTTAGCTTGTCAAAAATGACATTTTGTACATAGAGCAACTGTCTTATGTTACAGTGGTTAAATATCTTTAATTTCACCGTTCTTGATTCCAAATAATATGTTTACTCTAGTGCCCACCCTTATATGTATGTTGACTGTTTAAAGTCTTATCTTTTTTAAAACTCTGAATTTTGGTGACAACCCCGAGATAACCGGCAAGAACTGTCAATTTATGCCAACTTGGACAAATACCAGATTAATAGTTGTTTTATCTTGACATCATCTGTTGCTGCATATTCTCAAAGGTATTATTATTGCACTAATTGCATCACGCAACTCACAAGTCGCAAAGGTTGCTGTGAAAGGCATAGAAACTAATTATTGGTGTAAAATAGTCTGTTAAAATTGATTTTAAAAAGGCTTTTGTTTGTTTTGTTTTACTCAAATGGCCAATGTTAGCCTCACCCCCTTCATTGATTCAAAACACTGTTTGAAAGTAGGTTTTTAAATTCTGATAATTTTTTTTATCTTACCTCTCGTCATTGTGAAACACAAACATGTTTTAAATGGGTTTTAAATGATTTTGTGTAACTGTTTTGAAATTTTAGCAGCAATAGAAACATACACAATTGTTTCAATAGAATCTGTACCTAACTCTTGTAAGTACATTGTTTAATTTGTCAGTATATGTTTACTTAAGCTTGAAAAGAAAGAAGATTTATTTTTTATTGTATTTCTAAGTGAGAATATGTATTGGTAAGTGAGAACATGAATCTGCTTTTGGTTGTTAAAAAAGGAAAGCTGCAATTTATTGAAATTAACTGAAATAAAGGGGGGACAAGACATATTTTACATTCTCTGTTTCTCATGTAAGCAGCAAACCTTGCTTGCAAACACTACAGACTAAATGAAAGAATAAAGGGAAGAAGATAAATCTATGAAGTCATATTTTTGCAATATTTCTGAATTTTTAGTAAACAAATGATCCTGGGACCTTGTTTTGAGACATGAGAAAATATTGGGAAACGATAGGGACTGTTACAGTTTAGTGATTTATCACTTGCCATAACACAAACAGCTTCACATACTTTGTTAGTGAAAAATGACCATTCATACTTGTATTTCTGCAATATGTCAATATTTAAAAAGAATGCTGGAGAAATAAAAAATCATCTTATTATTTATGAACAACAGAAACTTTGCTGGTGTACATCTTGGCTGGTGACCAATAGTGATTATTATTGTGCACCCAATGTTGAAAAAGCCAATAAATGATTCTTGGATTGCAGCATATTAGCAATATTTCTTAATTTGCTAGCTATAAAGCTTGTTATGTCTCGTAGACAGTGGCAGAAATAAAAATCAATTAATCTTGACCAGGCCATTAGGCACTGCTCAGATCACAGTCCACTCAGAACAACTGAAATCACTCTGCAGACATAAAAAAGTCAGATTTTACATAATAGATATAGACAAAATCCATTTTATGGTGTAGGTCATTCATGCCCATGCCCTACAGATGAATTTTTAAAAACCACTCATGGGCGTCCATGTTCCAAGACCTCATTTGGTATATTTTGGCCCAGTTTAGACGCCTGTGGATGATTTTTTTTGTATTTTTAGGCCCTAGGGCCCCTCAGGTCTCGGCTGACATGGCCCTATTGCCCTCTCTGATATTCAGGACTGTGCTGAGAATGGGTTTGGGGAAGCAATGGCAGAAGTAGATGAAATTGCACAACATTTATCAAACCTGCTCATACATCTTTAGTTTTATAGCAATTTAGAGACCCTTCCTTTGGAGAAGTCCCAGAAATATTTCCCGGATAAATCCATCTTCCTGGTTTTTATTCACATTTCATTTTCCAAGTAACCGTGAACTGTCCGCCTACAAGGTTTGCACTCGGATTAATTCGCTCATGCATCTGGGATATGATGGTGGATATAAAACTGATATGGGCTGGTGTGTTAGCATTCTGATACATGTTGGGGAATTCGAGTCATGTTCAAATATCCTATGAGATGTAGTCGATATTAACATGTTCAGATGAACAATTTGTTCCTAATAAACCGTGCACTTCTAGGATTGTGACAAGAATTGCTGACCAGTATGACATGAAATATAATCATATGATCAATTTTGGCAAGGAGTCTTTGTTCTTTTATTATAAGTGTGAAAGAACTTAGCCAATTTACAATTTATGTTTTGCATTATTAATTTGTTTTGTTTGTCTTTGTGTGTCTGTCTTTGCTTTAAATATAGCCAAATTTCTCAAAGAATATGATATAAATTAACACTAAACTAAATGACAAGGATATTCCATTTTCATAATATCTGTTATTTTGATTATCATTATGATTCAAGTAATTCCATGTGCCTGTCTTTGCAGGTAAACCACCAAATGTCACCGTGGGCATGGAAAGGTCTCACTACGCAAGCGACGACCCATTTTTCAAACACAAGTGTCGTTTTTGTCACAAAGTTTTCGGCAGTGACAGCGCTCTGCAGATACACGTGCGCTCACACACAGGTACTGTCTTACATCTAGGAGACTTTAGGGAAGCTTGGGGTGGGGGGGGGGGGAGGACAGACTACTTTTTGAATCTTGTTCTTTTTTTTTTTTTAGATTTGCTTAAAAAGATGTCAAAATTTATCTCAAATTTTTATTTCTGTGTAATTTGCCATAATTTTTAATTGAGAATTTCTCAATAGAAATGAAATCTCAAGATTAATAAAAAACATACATCTGCTTGAATCTGCTGAGTGTCATTTGTCTTGAAGATGTGGTAGAGGAGGGGGTGGGGGTGGAGGTGGGGGCTGGGGTGATGGGGAGGTGGGGAATAGGACAGGCCTACCATTTATATCATTCTGAGAGGGACTGAAACTAGGAGCCACAAATGTGTGTAACAATGGGTGTGAGTTGTGATTACAGCTTTAAGTTTTTCTGTAATGGTGGATCTTGGAGACAGAGATGGTAGGTGTACCCTTGTCTCCCTGATGCAGTTTTGTAAGCGGTGGTGGGTGTGGCATCTTATCTTTGGTACATATTTCAGGTCTTTGGGCAAAATTTATCTGCAAACAGAATGAATAAGAGGAATTCCAGACTCAAAAAATTAATCAGTTGTGATAGGTTTAGTCTTGAAGACAATCCCCATGTTTTGCTTGTATTCATTTCTTTGTCATTGGTTAACGAAGAAAACATACCAGGATTTTTATCATGCGACAAAATTCTTCCAAATGCAGAAATGACTCAAATTATTTCTTCTCCAGTTACCCAGATGCTACTTCAGCTTATTTTGTTTTTTTTTTTTTTTAGAAATAAAAAAAAAGTTGACAAAATGACAAAAAATAAGATGCACTTGGGATATCAAGTTCTGGGGTGGCTCATAAAATGTGGAATTCATTTCAAAAGAACGTCTGTTAAAGTTCAGTGATTGTCTACAGTTTAAACAAATTGAAATTCTATGTGGATTTTGAAGAGATAGTTCCGCCCTTTGACTTTGGTCTGCTGGGCCATTCATTTAGGCATGCCTCAAATCTTTTTGTCATTAGAATTTTGATTTTGATGGTAACACCCAATATCCATCTTAAGGGCAGTTATGTACCTGGCACTTGACTTACGTACATTTGTAACATGAAATGCCGAGAATAAAAGAACAGCACATTTGAAAGACATAAGATTATATTGGAAGTAAATACGATTTTAATAGAGAACATAGAATAATCTGGTCTTGCTTAACATGCATATTCTGCATACATTCAACTTGATAGCTCATGATAGGCATGGGACGGATGGAGAAATGATGATTTAAAATGGTTAATTATCATGAACTAAATGTAAGGACAAATATCAGATGGTACTAGTATTGGACTACGTGCCTGTTTCTATAAAAGTATGCCTTTTTAATATGCTAAAAACATGTTGCACTTTACTAGAAACTTGTAGGTCACATTTAAGCGAAAACATAACAAATTTCTGGCATTACAGTCTTCAATTCTAGAATGTTGAATATCTATTTAAGTAACCATTATCAGATTTAAATAAGTCTTATCTAAGCCCAGAATGTGAGCTGACAAATATGTCTTCCATCTAAGAAACATCAGGGATTTTAAAGGTGAAAAACCTTAACAATGTGACACAAAGTGCCTTTTATTTCAAGTCAACAAAATGCTTCTTTAAGTGAAATGATGTGATGACAGATGTTTTTAGATATAATATTAATTGTTCAAGAAATAAGGATAATTTCATATAGTAATATGCAGTAGTATATATATATATGTGAAAAAAATTCTTTGTAATAAAAAATAGTGTTGCTGGAGCAGGTGGTTTCTTATAATTCTTAGACACTTTGGATTAACTGAACAAATTTAACAAATCAGTCATTAAACTTTTAATTTTAAAGATATTGACCAAACAAGAAGAAGTTAAGTTATTGGGTTTAGAACTTTTGTTTAGATATTGACTTTGACTGTTTAAAAAACTTATTTAGTAGAATTGTGACTGAACTCCTCATAGCTGAAGAATTTGTTATGTCAAATATACATATATGTAAGCCAATGTTATATTTCTAGTTATACATTGTACGCTAAGGCACTTCTGTTTTTTTTTTTTTTTTTTGAAAAATAGAAAAAACCATCCATTTATACATTAAAAAATCTATTTCACTTGCATCTTTGAAAAATAAGGTTACATATGGACAATGCTGATAAAATGGCTGATCTGAGCTGTTAATACACAGACTGATTTTTATGGGGCTGTGATTTCCCATAGTGCTTTGTATAAATGGGCAATTTTCACTGTTAAATGGACATAGAAACCAAACTAACCTACCTTTTAGTGGAGGAAGTCGAGGGTGAATTGCCTATTGGCCAAGTGATTGTATAACATAGGAGAGCAACTCATAGATCAGGGAGATATCACACAAATATATTCTTCAAATAAAACAAAACTAGTATTGGCAAAAATCATGAATATGTTATTTATCAGTATGACAGAACATAAAAATCATGACATAAATACAAAATTTTCTTTTTTCATAAAAAAACTAAACACTGAAAGAAGAGAAGAGAAAGTCATGATCTTTGCTGCCTTGTTTTAATATCTGGTCAAATGTTTGAAACATTTTTTGTCTATTTTATGATTTGTAACAAAGCATGCGGTGAATTGAACCATGTAAGCACTGATTTCAGGCAACAGGGATGTTACTGTTTATAAAATTACCACTTAAACTGGAATGAGAAGTGCACTCTCTCTCTCTCTCTCTCTCTTTTAAGTATATTTTTGATGATGTCATTTCTCAAATATATTTTTGCCTGACACTTCTTGCGAATGTTAACATTCTTGTTCTGCGCCTCTCATCTTAATGGCAAGAACCATATTTTGAGGTAGATTATCTGTTTTGGAGGTTAAGTAACAGTAGACTTCTTTTCAACTGAGGCAAGTCAGAAGTTGAAAATTCAACCTCAGTTGCTATTCTTTTAAATGTTGGAAGGAAGATTAGATTGGGGCAGGAGAAAGGAGCAGGTTGACATGCATTTGTTACACACATCAAACAAACACAAAAATGTTGAAAAAAAAAGATAGTAGTGTCTTCTGTGGAAGGAAATGAGTCATTTTTTTATTTGTTTGGTTTTAATGAGGTTTATTTCAGATGGCATATTTTCTGGAAACATGATAATGAAAACAGGAAAAAATTCAAAATGTTTGAAAAATAACACAGTGGTAAATTGACTTTACCTTGTAGAGAAATTGATGAAGTGGAAAGGGTTTGTAATACTGCGTTAATAGGTGAATCAGATGAGCAAACAATTTAAATGGGAAAATAAGAGGTATAGAAGGAGATGGTTAGTTTCAGAAAGAAAGGTCATGTTTAACAATACTGAGTTTTCTTAAACATTTTAGGCTTGGAGAAGATATGTAAGGATAAAGTGCCAAACCTAATATACTTATAAAATTAAAAAAAAAAAAATAATAAAATGAAATAAAATAAAAATTGGTTGTTGATGTATATAAACTTTTCTTAGTTTTCTTAGTGTTATTATCCTGAGAACTTTGATCAGAAACGAGCTCTCCATATAAATTCTCTACAGCTGGCTTTTCAGCCAACAATCTGATGAAAAATACGTAAGATCTAGCTTAATAACAGTGCGGAGAGATTATGAGTTATTCATAAGTTTGCACCATAAAATATTAACAAGAATTGTGACAAAGTTAGGGTTTTAATTAACACAGGAAAGCTATCTGTTATTATTTATGAACATATGATTGGCCAGGAAATCCCTTAAGGGAAATACAAGTAAGCAGAGGTTTGCCATGCTCATTCAGTGCTAAAATTTTGAGATTCATCTCTGTCAGTCAGGGCATGAAAAAAGTTGATATCCCACATGTACACTGCTATAATAAAGTAAGCTGATGCAAAGGCGGTCCAGCAGGCCCCAGGCAAGGATAGACTGTTATTTCTCACAGGTCTCTATTCCGTGTACTAAATGATTATTTTTGTGCAAATGTCGATATCAGATAATCTCAAGTGTTCAGGAAAAAAATCCTTCTATTTAGGAAAAAAAATGGAAGTAACTGGTCTGGTCAAAAGAGTGCAGAATTAATTTGTCTGTATTTGGAGAAGAAATTGTTTAATAAGAATCACTTCACTTGACAAATGTCCTGATGACAGAATTTGTCAAAAAGCTACAAGCAATTTGTCATACTGAGAAGGAATTATGATGATATCAACCCCTGTGTTGTGGAGAGTTTGAACTGTCTAGGGCCCTATAATAAATTGGCCATCACCACTGATATGGGAAATATGATGGCACAGCAGATTTATTGGCGATATTAGTTGTATATGAAGATAGTGATGGGTTGTATTGATTTTTGTCTGCCAGAGGGTATTGAGTCTAATTATTTCAACTGCTCGACAGCCCATCACACCCGAACGTACTTCACAGTTCCAAGCAGATGTTCTGTTTAAAAATCTATTTTCCGTGTTGATGTTTCATTTCATTGTTATACAAATATTGGGAGGTCCTGGGTTCTCTAATATGGTTTCTTTTCTCAGAGGAAATGTTAAAAGTTTGAAAGGTTTTTGAAAATTAAGATTTTGTTTTCTTGAAGTTCGCTTTTTAAGAGGAACTGTAAAAAACAGTACAACTGTGCTGTGTTTGAAATGGAACTGTACAGCTATGCCAAGAATGAAAATAACTTAATGATGAAATATTGATATTAAAGGAGGCTCGATTTAAAAATATCTATGTATTTAAATTGCAAGGGACCATGTGGATCTGTATAGAGTGTGACTCAAAATATAACATTGTATTTAAATCTTCTCTTTCTATATTTCAGGGGAGCGTCCATTCAAGTGTAATGTGTGTGGCAACAGGTTTTCTACCAAGGGCAACCTGAAGGTTCACTTCTCCCGCCACAAGGCCAGGTACCCACACATAAAGATGAATCCACACCCTGTTCCAGAATATCTTGACCGAGAGCCGAGTAAGCCAAGAGGCATGCTGCTGCCCTCTACACTTACCTCAGTGTCTGCGCCACCACATTTGTTGTCTCAACACAGCAGTAGTGACGATGGGACACCGCTGCCACCTACTTCAGTGCCACTTCAGGCTTCAGCATCGATGTCGACCCAGGCATCGGCACCCTCAGCACCTCCCTCAACTTCTGCTGAGCCTCCTCCTGAAAGTCCCACACCATCGGAGCAAAAATCACAGGATACTGCGGCAGTTGTGGCACCTCCGGCGAAAGAAGAAGCCACCGTACCTCCAATGTCAACTGCCATATCAACCACTGATGCCGAAGTTCCAGCGCCATCTGGGCCCCCTGCTGTGAAGTGTAACACAAGCCCATTGGTCAGTCCCATACCGGCCACGCTGCCCCCATTTCCACTGCCAGGGATGAAACCGGATCCAAGTTTCACTCCAGTGGTGGTTCCCCCGACAAAGACCCTGTGGAATCCATGGAAGAATTCATGGAGATCACACCATCTGAGACGTCAAAACTACAGCGTCTGGTGGACAGCCTGGATAGGAAGGTGACTGACCCCAATCAATGTGCCATTTGTAACCGAGTGCTGAGCTGTAAGAGTGCTTTACAGATGCACTATCGGATCCACACCGGGGAGCGGCCGTTCAAGTGTAAGATCTGTGGCCGTGCATTCACAACCAAGGGGAACCTGAAGACCCACATGGGTGTTCACCGTGTTAAGTCTCCCATGAGGTTGATGCACCAGTGCCCTGTGTGCCACAAGCAGTTTACCAATGTCTTGGTGCTACAACAGCATATTCGCATGCATACTGCAGGTATCTCCACCTCCATGCCGCATTACCCTCCACCCTTCCGCCGTGAGGACTCGCTGCCATATCGCCCCTTGTCTGCCATACCAATGTCTCACCTGCCGGAGCAGGGGTTGGACCTCAGGAAGGATATCAATTCACCTGAGAAAAAAGAAATCAGTGCAGCAGACAGGCGACTTGAAAATGATGAGCTCCATGAAGCCATGGACACAGATTCCCATCATTTGAATGGCAACACAGAACCTAGAGAAGATGCTGGGGATATGGATTCTGATGCTGAAGAGAGATCTGGCACCCCTGAGAAGCTCTCCCAAAACAGAACATCCCATGTGTCTGCCAGCTCGGGCAGTCCCCTTGCCTCGCCCTCTGGGTCAACCAATAGTGGGGAGATTCGCTACAACCTCACCCCCTTAGAGGAGATGCAAAAGGCGTACAGTGCGTATGCTGCAGCCCAGTTTGGTGGCCATTCACCCTGGTCACTGGGCATGCCGTATAGCACCTCTTCCATGATGAGTCCTCCCTCGGTCATCACCAGCCCCTACGGCTCCTACTCCATGTCCCTGGCTGCCTTGGAAGAGAGAGTCAATGCCATTGATAACAAAATACCCAGGCCACCAGGGGGAGACACAGGCAAAAAAGAAGTCACACCCACTGAGGAGGAGAATCTTGACCACCACCAGCCACAGCAGCAGCAACATCCCCTGAGAGATCACATCACATCTGCCCTGCAGAGAGAAAAAGATTATAAATACAACAACGATGAAGAGGAAAACCCTTCTGCCACGGACTCCGTGCGTCAGTTAGAACGGATGACACAGGAGATGGAGAAAAGAAATGAAAGTCAGTCTCCAAGTCCCAAACCTCCAGGCCCAAATGGGGAGATGTCGTCACCAGAGAGACCTGCATTCACTGATTCTGATGCAGACAGAAGTAGGAGTCCACCCATGGTTAAAGTTGGCCATACCTCCCACAGATCCCAGTCCCCGGCCGGCAGTGCCTGCTCTGTGGACAGTGCTGGGGATCTCTCCAATGCCTCCTCACAGGGTGGCCTCCCCTTTGATAATGCCAGCACCACCTGTAACATCTGCTACAAGACCTTTGCTTGTCGCAGCGCTTTAGGGATTCACTACAGAAGCCATACCAAAGAGAGACCCTTCAAGTGTGAGGCCTGCGACAAGAGGTTTTCTACCAAGGGGAACATGAGACAACACATGCTGACCCATAATGTATGTGACCTTTCATCCAAAGCACTTGCCAATAACAACAATATGGAGGAGCACGGTGTTGAAGTGACCAAAAAAGAGGGACACTTTTTTGACTCCAAGTAAAGAAGAAAATAAACCAAGAACAGAGGAGGCCATCAAGACACACCATCACACGTCGGCAGAGAGTCGACCGCCTGAGTCCTCCAGACCACGTCAGTTGAACAAGCACCAATGTTCGGTGTGCTACAAACAGTTCTCCAGCGCCAGTGCTCTTCAGATCCACTTTCGCACCCATACTGGAGACAAGCCTTTCAAGTGTACTGTCTGTGGCAAGGCTTTCACGACAAAAGGGAACCTCAAGGTTCACATGGGGACACACATGTGGAACAACAGCCCATCTAGAAGAGGACGGCGCATGTCTGTAGAGAACCCATTGGCTCTGAGTATGAATCACAAGGAGGCAGAGTACTTGGGGAGCTTTTCGCATCGATCGCCTAACGATATTTACTTTCAGTATCCACCCTTCATGAATGGCCTGGCTTCTAAAATGAATGAGATCTCTGTTATACAAGGTCTCAATGGTAGTTTTGGTCCCCTCCCAAACCCCATGCTGATGAATGGCTACCTGCCGACCAGCTCAACAGCAGAGGCCTACATGAAAGCTAATGCCTACTTTCCCATCACCACCACTGCCTCTGTGGAACACCGTGACAGGTCCGTTTCTCCAGCGGCCTCTCCGCCATCACCTTCAAAATCAGTAAACAGCGAGAATGAGTCAAGAAAATCTTCCCCCGTTTCCCCTACCCCTGATCGATCACTAGACTCGCCTCGGAGTCAAACCTGGGTTTGGAAGACGACCTGCCACATCTGTAGTAAGATGTGCTCATCGCCAGGAGCTCTAGAACTTCACCTCAAGTCCCACTACGCCAGCTCCGCGGAGTCACCAAAGCCTATCGCAGCTTCTTAGGTAAAGCAGCGTTGATTATGTTTATGTTGTGGACCATATTATATTATATTATAAGACATACTTATGGCAAGGTAATGTATAGACAACGGGAGAATTTAATGTTTGGACAACAAGAGAATTGAAGTCTGTATTATGACCATAAAGAATGTTCTTTCTTTATATTTAATTTGTTTGTATAAAGGTGTATTATCTATAATCCAATATTCAACTTGTTAATTATTATTTACCAAATCAAACAGTATTTGATTGTGAATTTTGGCGTAATCTTGATACTTACTAACATTTATTATAGTTATTAGTATTATTGTTGATAGTTACTTTAATGGCTTTGTATGACTGAGGAATTTGAGAATCACTAAGTTCCCATATTTTTTCTTTGTAATCTTTCGTTACCTAAGACACACAACTAAAACGTTGTATGACAGCTGTTTTTTGATTGGTGTTTGTATCCAGCCTTCAACTGACCCCGCCATCTTAAAAAGGAAAGAGAAGAAAAAAAATTCAAACCATATTATTTGAACATTGCCAGAAGTTATCAAAATGCCATGGGATCTCCATTCAGATATTTCGCTTTTGGAAAGTTAAATTAATTTCTATTCCTCCCAAGTTATTTTCACATAAACCTGAAAAGAATTTGATAAGATCATACTGTACTACTTAACGCCTGTGTTTATAATCAGCATGACTGAATGCATTTATCACATGAATATTTGCATTTACACTACTTTATCATCCGATCACTTATTCCATAGATCTTATACACAAGACAGAAAAAGAACTGCAGTATAACTGTGCCAAAGTTTGTACATTAATGCTTTTTTTTTTTTTTTTTTGCTGAAATTAATTTTCCTCTGCATAAAGCAGATGTCTGAGTGAAGCTTCCAAGGCAGAAGTTGGAATTTTGCTCACAAATTAGAAAGACATTCCAGAAGACATCAGTAACTAAGTCTAAAATGCCATCGTAGGAGTGACTTGAATGTTAAAGCTTTCAATGAACGCGTTTTGAATACAGCTAAGTTGACAGCATTGAGACTACATACCTTTTAAAAAAGCTTTTGTTAACAAAGTGGAGATATGTTCTCAGAGATACCACGTATATATATCCTTAAAAATATATATTTGGGGTGTATGTTCTCTTGCTAAAAAGATTGGCAGGCCACGCTTCCTAGGATGAAAACGGTTCATTTGGCATGAAAGAAGAAGAAAGCTACCACATTAAGTGTGCCAGCAGTTTTCAGAAATTTCCAAAATTGATGTTGGCATCTATGTTTTTGTGATCACTATGTACACAGGAAATGACCGATGATGTTGGATCATATGACCAATTTGTCCGAATTTGATAGTTTGCTTATGACTTTTTACAGAAAGCTCTCTTTGTGATACAGAATTTCAGATATTTTTAGTTTGCTGTTGTCTGCACTTCCTCAAGTAGTAGTTGTCTTAAATTTAATCTTTGTGGAACAAGAGCTATATATGTGACTGAGGGTGAGATGAGGGGTGGATACACAGTCCATTTTATTCTTGTTTTAATAGTTTTTTAATGATATATATTTGTACTATTTTAATCTTGTTTGAATTAAGTTAAAATATTGGAAGTATGTGAGTTTTTTTTTTCTTCTTGACATGAACTAGGATGATTTTCTTTTCATTTTCCAATATTATATTTACACTGTTACTGGGCAAGCAAAGATTTTTTGACAAAGTTTTTTTGCCCAGCAGGAATGATATTTTATGGGGAATTGAAGCAATTGATTTGTTAGATTAGAATTCATTGTGAAAGAATTTCATGTCTGTTTATAAAATCAAAACTCTATATACAATAATGTCAGCATATATTCAATAAGCTGTTCTTCAAATCCGAAGTTGTGATAACAAATTAAGGAGAATTCTTTTTTGTTCTTCGTTGTGTACCAATATGTAGCTGCAGATGAATTTAAGCCAATTTTTAAAAATATCCAGCCATTATGTGGCAGGGACCGTGTAAGGACACATGCCATTTTGTTACCGGAGGAGCCTAGTTGTGATAATGAATTAGTTGAATTCTATTTAATTTCCATGTTTGCCAGAACAGGTGATGTATGAACCCAGGTGTAAAGAGATCAGAATTCATCCCCTACCTCCTAAATGGTACAAAGCCATGGTTGTGAATGCATATAGAGATGGGGATGAATTTTGATACACTTTTGGAGGCACTTGCCTCACTTCATCAAGGGATCTAAAACAAAAGAAATTTTTTCCCAAATCGTTGAAACTGATATCCGATATCCTTGGATGCAAGTTATGAATATTAATCCACACGCTTTGATTCCCAAGCGAGCCTTTTGGGGGAATATATCTCCCATTTGATAAAATGCTGGTTTATGCTTTTATATTGGAGCTATTCATGCATGTTCGGCGGAATTAGCATTTGAGGAATGGAGTGTCTAATGCAGGTGCTGTATTTTTCAAACCTAAGCACATAATAGGATGAGAAAAAATGGGCAAAGAAATATTGGATGACTTTCGCAATTAACTATAAAGTAGCTGTCAGAGCAGACGTTCAGACGCCTTTTGACTAGGAGGACATTGTTTCTGAGTTTGCTACACCGACCATTAATCAAAACCATTGACATTTATTTAAAAGTAGAGTTTTGAGGTAGATTTTGAAAATAAATCAAAATGTTTTACACGATAAGTGCTGTGCAAACTGTTGTAGGTGATTTGATAAGCAATCTCTTCTAAATATTTAGCCATAAAATTAGTGTTTTCCAATTTCATAGAGATGGAAATCAGTTCTGTGTATTATTTTTTTCTTTGAAAATTAATTGCTTTTATGTATCATTAAAAGCTTAAGGGTGGGTTGGAGGAACTTGCAGATTATTGCTGTTTTATGTTCAGATGTAAGATAATTCAAGTCCTCCACCCAGGGGTGATGTGGGAGTGTGTTAGAGGAGATGGATTACTGATTGTGCTCAGTTGGACTCTATGCAGAAAACTATACCAAAGATTGGGGCAGGTTGATACAAGTTGATTCACAGAAAGGTGTTAGAATTAAGACATTCAAGGTAACATTATATATGGTCATTTTTTCCCCTTTTAATACAGATACATTGAAATGTGTGTCTTGATGTAATAGATTGAGAAGAAAATTACTTATTAAGTCAGTGTCCACAATACAGGTGCTTAGGAGGAGTCTTGCATTGCTATGCCACTGCAACATTGTAGGTTAGCATATTTGAATAGATATTGTGTGATGCGTTGTCTTTGTACTAGAGCAGTGATGTTATTGTGGCCTATTGTAGCAGGTGCAGTCACACAGTTGAAAACTATACACTGGCATAAACATTGCCAAAGTTGAATCAGAATGAATTTTTGAATGATTTTTTTTTTCCTTTGCCAAAATTGTTTCTTGGAATTGACAACTGCATATTTTGTGGTGCTCATAGATTTAATTATAGTAGTGATGTAATTAATCATTGTTATATAATTTTGTTCATTCCAGGCGCCACTTGTTTAGATAAGATTTAATAAGTGCATGTGGTGATTTTTAGTTAGGAGTCTCATTGTTTTTATTTTTTTGTGTTTAATTCATGACATGTTCCAAATGATTGTGATGTTGAGTTGCAATAGATATTTTGTTCCTGGAGAGAAAAAGATCAAACTCGAGAGAAGATCTTCATATATTGACAAGCAGTGGAAAGCTTGTGTGGTACTTATATGTGGTGTAAGTTAGGTTAAGCTTAAGCTTGAAAATTGTGTAGAACCCCAGTAGAAACTGATCAGGAATAACTGTGTCATATATGATTAGAACAGAAATCTAGTTTGATATGTGCCACAGTGGAGCATAATCAAATGATCATGTTTGTAGTGCCAAAACATTGCAAAGTATTCAAGTTTTGAAATTTAGGACCTGGTGCGAAAACGTTCCCAATTTTTAAGTTTCTGTCAACCAGATTCAAAGCGTGTACCTCTTGCTCTCAAATCATTGTCTGTTTATTGGCAATGTTTGAAAACTGTAGAAAAGAGCTTCATTCGAGTAGGTCTTAATTGATATAGTTGATTCATGTTGGCTGCAGGCTTGTAATGTGTGGCTGTAATGTGCATCAGTCTAAACAGTGTCACTGCTATATTACAATATTGTATCATTGTAACATTTTTGTAATTAATGTCTGAGAACTAATCAAACCCAGGATTCGATGAAGATTATACACATATATATATTAATATAGAGAAAAACATCTCACCTTTGATTTTCACTGCATTAAAAGTGTATTGCATTATTTTTGTATATAAAAATGTGGTGCGAGGGTGAGATGTTTTTTAACTAAAAGCAAGTTTTATTTATAATTCTGAAACAGTATCATGCCATAAGTAGTCACTGTATGAGTAGGTAAGCATTTCCACTAACAGCCGTGTAGAACTTATATGGGATCTTCATTTTGTCACTTCATCTATTTAAGGTACAATAAATTTATTTAAAACCTACATCATGCATTGTTGTTGTTTCTACTTTTTTTGTATGTATGGAAATCTAGGTTACATCCCTATACGTCCCCGCACCAATACTCCCCCACACCGGAACATCCTCGCACCAATACTCCCCCACACCGATACTCCCCTGCAATATCGATGCGGGGAAGCAATCGTGTGGTGGGAGTAATGGTGTGCCTACATCGGCAATTTTACTGGGGATGTATCGATGGGGGGATCTATCAGTGTGGGGTTGTATCGGTGCGCATAATACACAAAAATTTACTAAGAGGGATTATTGGTGTGGGGGAGTGTCCGTGCGGGGGATTATCGACATGTCCCCGAAATCTATACACATTTCCAATTATAAATCACAAGAAGCTTCTATCCCTCCATTAGTTTGCCTATTCACAGCTGCTATATTAATTTTTAGAGTCTGTTACAATTCCAATTGTAAAATACCTGTTGTGGTTATTCAAAATAAACAAAGCACTATTAAGGGTGTCCTGCAAGTATTTCAATTTAAATTGCCTCACATATTTATCCTGGAAAGTGTACTTGTATATTCCCCAAATTTAGAAAATGAAGATGAAAATACATATGTAGCTTTGAAAATTGAACAAAATAGGAATTGACAGCGCCCTAGGAACAGGGTTAATGATGAAACTATATATAGGAGCCATGCATGAATTGGCCTGAACCAAAGGTAAAAGTTATGCCTCAATCCCACCCCACCACACCCAATCAAAAATAAGTTATGAGATAGAAATAATAATAATAATTATAGTAATAAATTTATTTTGAGTTTAAATCCATTATAACATGTTCAGAAGACTTCACATATCATGAAACAGTTACTTAAGAAATCGATTATAAGGAATAGATAAATAAACAAGNTGAAAACTATACACTGGCATAAACATTGCCAAAGTTGAATCAGAATGAATTTTTTTATGAATTTTTTTTCCTTTGCCAAAATTGTTTCTTGGAATTGACAACTGCATATTTTGTGGTGCTCATAGATTTAATTATAGTAGTGATGTAATTAATCATTGTTATATAATTTTGTTCATTCCAGGCGCCACTTGTTTAGATAAGATTTAATAAGTGCATGTGGTGATTTTTAGTTAGGAGTCTCATTGTTTTTATTTTTTTTGTGTTTAATTCATGACATGTTCCAAATGATTGTGATGTTGAGTTGCAATAGATATTTTGTTCTTGGAGAGAAAAAGATCAAACTCGAGAGAAGATCTTCATATATTGACAAGCAGTGGAAAGCTTGTGTGGTACTTATATGCGGTGTAAGTTAGGTTAAGCTTAAGCTTGAAAATTGTGTAGAACCCCAGTAGAAACTGATCAGGAATAACTGTGTCATATATGATTAGAATAGAAATCTAGTTTGATATGTGCCACAGTGGAGCATAATCAAATGATCATGTTTGTAGTGCCAAAACAGTGCAAAGTATTCAAGTTTTGAAATTTAGGACCTGGTGCGAAGACGTTCCCAACTTTTAAGTTTCTGTCAACCAGGGCTCCGTATCTCGAAAGGTTCGCTATTTTGTGCGCAAGCGTCTCGATTCCATGGCCCGGTATCTCAAAATAGAATCGGTTATGGAATCGAGACGCTTGCGTACGTGCGCAACATAGCGAACCTTTCGAGCTACGGAGCCCAGATTCAAAGCGTGTACCTCTTGCTCTCAAATCATTGTCTGTTTATTGGCAATGTTTGAAAACTGTAGAAAAGAGCTTCATTCGAGTAGGTCTTAATTGATATTGTTGATTCATGTTGGCTGCAGGCTTGTTATGTGTGGCTGTAATATGCATCAGTCTAAACAGTGTCACTGCTATATTACAATATTGTATCATTGTAACGTTTTTGTAATTAATGTCTGAGAACTAATCAAACCCAGGATTCGATGAAGAATATACACATATATATTAATATAGAGAAAAACATCTCACCTTTGATTTTCACTGCATTAAAAGTGTATTGCATTATTTTTGTATATAAAAATGTGGTGCGAGGGTGAGATGTTTTTTTACTTAAAGCAAGTTTTATTTATAATTCGGAAAACAGTATCATGCCATAAGTAGTCACTGTATGAGTAGGTAAGCATTTCCACTAACAGCCGTGTAGAACTTATATGGGATCTTCATTTTGTCACTTCATCTATTTAAGGTACAATAAATTTATTTAAAACCTACATCATGCATTGTATGTTTCTTCTTTTTTTTTGTATGTATGGAAATCTAGGTTACATCCCTATACGTCCCCGCACCAATACTCCCCTGCACCGATACTCCCCGTAGTATCGATGCGGGGAAGCATTGATGTAGGGGAGTATCGGTGTGGGGGAGTAACAGTGCACCTACATTGGCAATTTTACTGGGGATGTATCTATGCGGGGATCTATCGGTGTGGGTCATATCGATGCGCATAATACACAAAAATTTACTAAGAGGGGTTATTGGTGCGGGGGAGTAATGGTGTGGGGGAGTATCGACATGTCCCCGAAATCTATACACATTTCCAATTATAAGTCACAAGAAGCTTCCATCCCTCCATTAGTTTGCCTATTCACAGCTGCTCTATTAATTTTTAGAGTCTGTTACCATTCCAATTGTAAAATGCCTGTTGTGGTTATTCAAAATAAACAAAGCACTATTAAGGGTGTCCTGCAAGTGTTTCAATTTAAATTGCCTCACATATTTATCCTGGAAAGTGTACTTGTATATTCCCCCAAATTTAAAAAATGAAGATGAAAATACATACGTAGCTTTGAAAATTGAACAAAATAAGAATTGTCAGTGCCCTAGAACAGGGTAAATGATGAAACTATATATAGGGGCCATGCATGAATTGGCCTGAACCAAAGGTAAAAGTTATGCCTCAATCCCACCCCACCACACCCCATCAAAAAATACCTAAACAAAAATAAGTTATAAGACAGAAATAATAATAATAATGAATTTGAGTCTAAAATCCATTATAACATGTTCAGAAGACTTTACATATCATGAAACAATTACTGAAGAAATTGATTATTAGGAATAGATAAATAAAAAATTACAGAGCTTAACGACAAAAAAATTTGAGAGTATTCTAGATAAAACATACAGATTCTCATATAAAAGCACTTACACTACATAACTAAAATATGTTTGCTAAGAAAAAATAATCAACTCAAAGTAAAAAAAAAAAAACAGCCTTGTTTGCACACAGAAAAAAATTATAAGTAGAACAGCCTAATTTCTTACAGTGTACAAATGCAATTACTATAAAATTTGTAAAATCAATTTAAAAGTCAATTAGTCAAAAAATTTCCTGAATACGTATAGAAGTTGAATACGTATAGAAAATACATATAGGAGTTGTAAAAACAATATGAAAATTAATAATGTAATAAAATAATGTATACATCAATATTAAAAATTGGACAAGTAATATAGGTTTTCCATACAGGAGTTCCCTTACAAAATAGTGAAGTCAGGTTGGGCTTTCTTTGTCAGAAAAAAATACCGAAGATAACACATTAAAAATGTTTTTTTTTTTTTTTTTTTTTTTTTTTTTTTTTTTTTTAGATACAATTGGCTTGTCAGTAATACAGGACGAATTTTATTGGTATTATAATGGCAAAACAACGCATTTGTTCATTGTCAATTGCGACAGGTGTGACAATTTTCCCACAATCCACCAGGTGGCGCATGCGCATGGTAAAAACCAAAAGCGTGGTCGCCATATTGGATTTCAACGCCCTCAAGTGTCGAGATAAAAAAGGTGAGTTTCAATTATATTTACAAAAACATTTTCATACAAAAACGATGCAGAACATCACAAAATTGTTATGTGTAATAACAAATGAGAAAAATTCTGCCAAAACCAAACAATATTTGTGAGTTCTAAGAGGTTATTCAGCCCATTGTCTGAATGTCTCTCGTGCCTTTTCCCGGCGAAATCGACGATGTATTGAACAGAAAACATGCAGCTATATTCATTTCCCTTGTGAAGTAGCCACTTAGCTAGCAATCGGTTAAAGAAAAGACTTTGTCTACATCCCGAGAACAAAGAAGAAGGTAATTTTCAGCGACATTGTGCGCAAAAAAATGAAGAAACCGAGAGCTCGACTTCCCGACCATCCTTGACAAGTGACCGTTGCTTCTAAACCAGGTGGCGCTCGAATTGACCGCAGACTGGGGCGCTCCAAGTGTCAGTTTCCTTCAAATATCTCGTGCTGAGCTTCTGCTAAGCCCATAACAAAATATATCAAGTACTTTTACTCCACAAATGAACAGAATTTGATGAAAATAAAAAGTTGCATAAATTATGCTGATTCAACAATGGCTGGTGCCGTGATGGCGGCCTTCGTGAACAGAATTGAGAAAGCCGCCCGTGTTGTACGATGTTTTGGGGCGACTGTGATGGATATTAATATTTTCTCAAAATAATAACAAGCCAAATAGATTAATAGATTTTAATCTTTCTACATTGCTCTTGTAGGTTTTAAAAGTTTGACAGAAAAAATACTACTTATTTGTCAAATTTCAAAGAGGATTTTAAACCAGGGCCCAGTTTCATCAACACTGAATAGCGCTATCCTATGCATAACACTATCCACTGAATAAAATTGTTATTCTATAGACAGTTGTCCTCAAGAAAACGGCCATTTTTAACCACTGTATAGCAACATCAGAAAGGAAAATATTTTTCAAGCACTTAGAAAACGTTACATTATCCACAGGATAACTGTCCACCTCTGGATTTAAGGTTACGTTTTAAATATGATTTGTGGTGGAGAACATTTCCTTTTGCCTCAGTATTCTGTTTGGAAAATTTTGTATACACTTGTCTTTACTACTGTAGTCATCTAAAAAGCAAATTAAAACTGATATATTCTGCAAGACATTCCATTTATTTAACAGGTTTCAAGGGCCTTGCTTCAATATCTTAACCTTAGCCTTTTTTTTTGCACTCTCATATTTGTGCAACTTTAACCTTTTAGTTGCTAAGATTTTTAGTAGACTTATGTACCTATATCATACCTAAATTTTTTTAATCAACTTTTAATTTTCATTTTCCACGTGTAGATCTTCTGTTTTCCCGTATTCAAGTCCACAAAATCTCTTTTAAAACATATTGATTATATTCAGTTGTTTGGAAACAATTACGTATGTGATATCATTTCTCTTTTTTCTCTTTCAAATTTAAAGTAACTATACCATCTAGATATATCTTATTTTTCTTTTTATTTTATCAGGTGGATACCACCAAAGAAGTAGATGATTACTGACGGGCATTTACCAGCTACAAAATACAGCAAACATTGACACCTTTTGGTAAAGGTTTGTATTTCACCTGTATGTTATAAGAATGCATACAGTGACTTTTTTTACACTACATCTGCGGTGTTTAGTTCTGTATTCATACCACTTGCTTTTGTACAATGATATGCATTTAAGGGGTCATTAAGCTAAAAATGGGCATTTGATATATTTCTGTCTCATTTCTTACTAGATGTTCTCAAGTACTCTTACCTCTAACTATAAGCCATTCAGGATTGTTGCCATGCAATTGAGCTCACATTGAATTAAGACTTGTTGTTGCTAAAAAGCCTGAGATATTTTTCATAGAGTTGTTGAAACCATTTGATGCTAAAAAGTCAAAGGTTATGTTTAGCATGAAATTCTCTTCATGCATTGACCAAAAAATTTGCTTACTTTTCTGAAGTTAAATTTTAGTTGAATATGCAAATTGAAAATATTAAAGAAAAACAAGAAGCAAACAACCCCCCTTATGCAGTTGTGAAGTTGAAATGACAGTCAGTGGCTGGGTTCCTGCACCTGGATAGATCTAACAGGATTGATCCATCGCTGTGGGGTTTCTCACTAAATTGCTTTCAGCTTAAGAGGCTCAGATGTCTGGCATGCCTACTGAAGTCGCTGAACAATAATTAATTACCTCTGAACAGCCTAACAGACATCTAAGCTGTTTTAAGTTGATTGCAATTTAGCAAGAACGTTTAGTTAGAACGATAGGGTCTGGGAATGGTCAGAATGTTGTATATCTGTAGTATCATTTGCAACCATGATGAATATTGTCATTCTTTTCCAGGGTGTTCACATCATGGATCCTGCTGCCTCAGACAGCCAAACAGCCCAGCAGGGCCAAACAAACCTGAGTGACATTCAAAACTACCTAGCCAGCTTCAACAAAGAGATATCAGACCACACAGGCCAGTCTTTTACTCAGAGCAGTGGGAACACAGCAGGGTTCTCTGTCCAAAACTTCCAGGGCACTGGATTCAACCAGTCCCAGCAATTCCCTACAGAGGTCAATGTTAGTTATTTCCAGGGGCAACAAGGGGGTTTCGCCCAGGGCACACAGTTTCAACAAGCAGGCGGAGATTTCCAAGGGTTCACTAGCTATGACTTCCAGTCTGCTGCAGGGGCTGCTGGGAACTCAGCAGGGGGTCCAATGCAAGGTCAAGGTCAGGGTGGACCACAGATAGTCCAGGTGTCAGGGGAGGCTGGGGCAGGAGGTCAGGGGGTGGTCACTGTCCCAGTTTCACAACAGCCAGGGGCCAGTGGGAGCTCGCCACTTTTGGGCACTGCTCAACAAGCACAAAATATAGTGACTGGTCAAACTTTGGGACAGTCCCAAGGAGACAACTTGGTGTCGGATTCTGTTGTCCAGGCTCTGGCGTCTGTGGCAGCCAATGCCATACAAGTTCCAGGTGAAATGGGGAATACAAATTCCAGTGTTACTCCCCAGCTTGTGGCTATACAGAACACGGCTAATGCCTCTCAGCCACAGATCATTCCAGTGTCGGGTGCCCCTGGCGGAGACAACACCAGTCTTAACGCCCCGCAGGCAGGGTCCCTGCAGATGTTAGCCGATGTGACATCTGGACAACACAGCCAACCCGCTGCTGCCACCAATGTCACACCTGTCACCTCCAGTGCTCAGCAGGCTAATGCCAATTCTGTCATGCTGAACACAGGGAATGCCTACCAGACCGTCACCATTGTCCCCTCTGAGAACAACCAGGGCGGTGAGATCAGTTATGTGTTGATAGTGTCCCAGCCAGGGGAGGAGAACAAGGACATGTCCGTCTACGACTTCAAGGAGGACAAAGGCGGGGAGATCCAGGAGGAGGAGAGCGAAGACCTAGGTGACGGGATGAGGAAGATCAAGATTTTACCCAAGAAACCGGGGCAGCAGTCCACCAGCGTGCTGATGTGCAACTACTGTAACTACACCAGTCCCAAGCGTTATCTTCTCACGCGGCACATGCGCTCACACTCCGAGGAGCGTCCGCACAAGTGCAGCATCTGTGAGAGGGGATTCAAAACCATAGCATCCTTGCAGAACCACATCAATACCCACACTGGAGTGAGACCGCACAAGTGTAAAGAATGCGACGCAGCCTTTACTACTTCTGGCGAACTGGTCCGCCACGTGCGCTACAGGCATTCGTTTATCAAGCCACACAAATGTCCAGAATGTGACTATGCAAGTGTTGAGTTGAGCAAGCTGAAGCGGCACATCCGCTCACACACTGGAGAGAGACCGTATCAGTGCCCCCACTGCACATATGCCAGCCCAGACACCTACAAACTGAAGCGCCATCTACGTATCCACACTGGAGAAAAGCCATACGAGTGCGACATATGTCATGCTCGGTTCACCCAGAGCAACAGTCTTAAGGCCCATCGTCTAATTCACTCTGGTAGCAAGCCTATCTATCAATGTGAACTGTGTCCCACAACATGTGGGCGGAAGACCGATCTGAAAATACATGTGCAGAAACTCCACACCAGCGACAAGCCTCTGCCCTGCAAAAAGTGCCCAAAGTCGTTCCCAGACCGTTACTCCTATAAGCTGCACATGAAGACCCACGATGGAGAGAAGTGTTTCAAGTGCGATTTCTGTCCCTATGCAGCTCTGTCACAGAGGTTCCTGGAGACTCACATGCTGACTCACACAGGTAAGGAATACACACATGGTACAAGCATCATACATACATGCATGCTTGGTATATACATGGTACATGCATGACACTTGCATATATGGTGCATACTTGGTACATACATGGCACTTGCATATATATGCTTTGAACATACATGGTACACACATGGTAGGGGGTACATAATTGGTTCATATTTGGAACATTCCTGGAACCTTCTTATTTTTTATGAAGGCTCAGTTGAAGTTTTTGATACACAGTAAACTTTGCAAAACTCATCACCTTATAGCTCAAATGATCTTTTATCCCAAATTTTATGTGGTGTAAACTGAAACTTGAGATAAATATCATCTAATCTGAATCATTACATAATTGGAACTGTAAATTTCCTTCTCCCAAATGGTTCTTAGTAATGCAATGATTAGTTCTTTTTTCAATTGCATTAAGAATGTTTAAAAGATTTGTAAAACTACCATGGTTTACACCATTTCTGTTACCAAATTTTAGCACAAGTTTTCATACCACCCAGTAGCAATGAGCTTTTAGCAATCTTGAACAAAAAATGGCATGAAATAAGGTGTATATTGTGCCTGCACTTGAAATAGGGCCATTTTGTGCAATATCATGATATTGAAACCTTTGCAAGGACTTAGTAAAAAATCTCCAAGTGTGCCTTGTACTACAGTATTTTATCTCTGGTCAGTGAATTGCAGCACTTTCTGAGCTTGCCCAGGTTAAAAGGTAGTGCAGCTCCATCTGTGTTTAAAAATTCACATATTTGTGGGTTTCTTATCTTATTAATGATTCACATTTATGTACAGGTAATAATAATTTCACTACATAGACTGGTACGAGTAAACAGATGGTCAGTTGGTGTGTAGTCCACATGACCACTCCCTAATTTTTGGCCACATTGTCATTACCAAGCAGGGTCAAAGGAGGATAAGTTTGGCCTGATGTCCTCTTTAAAATCCACACAGTACATTTATAATTTGAGATTTAGAAAAGTGCTTTCAGGTACCCAGTGTTTTTTTTTTTCTTTGAAAAAAAAGCAGCCTCAGTAATTTTGCAACATCATTTTTTTTTTCTAAATTGTTTGACTAGGCATTTCATATGAAATCCTATCTTGTAGCAACTTATCATGTAAGTAGAAAGAAATGATGTATAATACCTAACCGTTTTTATTGTATATTTTTTTGTTTGAAGTCTGATACTATGTTTTTCTATGTGTTCTGTTGAAAAGCAGCCACTCTTTCCTTCTGCAGTTTACATTTATATAACCAGGCTTCAATTCCAATATTTCATATAAGCATATTCTCCGTTATGAAATGAACTTTTAGTTCACTGTTTCACTTTGTACAGATGTCAGAAGCAAGCACCATGTGTCTTTTCAAGATATTTATGATGTCAAAATGTGCCTTTAGGGTAGTGCACAGGTGATTTTCAAAGGAGAGATGAGAATTTTATCTGAAAAACACCCAACTTGATGGCCAGGCATCTAAAAATTAAAACTTCTGTACAAAATGTGAGAGACAGCATTGGGTTTACATAATATTTGACATTTTATGAACGACCCTTCAAACCAAATATACATTGTTGGTACTTAGTCTCTTGTAATGCTACAGGTGAGAAACCATTCGAGTGCGATGAATGTGACCAGTCATTCCGACAGAAGCAGCTGTTGCGTCGCCACAAAAACCTCTACCACACTCCTGGCTACCAGCCGCCGCCGAAGAAAGATCTTATACATGATTGTCCTGAATGCCCCAAGGCTTTTGCTCACAAAGGTAGGCAAGATTTTTTAGATTGACGGGTTGGGAGCATCCAACTAAATAGCCTGTTCTCTGTTTTAGTTTTAAATAACCTTTACCCACAAAAATCATTTTGATGAACTTGGGTATTTATACTAGTATAGATTTTGTGCTAATCTGAGAAGAATGCATTTGGTATTGTGTATTTCAATACGTCATTGTACGTGGTCTGACTGTTTTTGACAACCAAGGAGTTGGAGCGATCTACGCAGAATAATATTTTCATTTGGAATGAGCCCCACTGCTGTTTTGTCCAGGTAACCTAATGCGACACATGGTCCAACATGACCCCAACAACCCCGACTACCAGCAGGCCGCTGCTGATGCTGACGCCAACCCAGATGACGATGAGGAGGAGGAAGATATCTCTGTGGATACCCAGCAGATAGTCCAGGCCGTGGTTGAGGCCTACCATGAGGGGGTACAGTCAGGAGCCATACATACAGGTAAACAGAAATCCAAGCTGTTTTGGTCTGTCCTTTCTGAAATTTTTGTCTTTGTTATTTATGTCTGGTATTTATTTATTTACTTATTTATTTGGTATTTAAGGGATAAATGTTAGACAAGTTCTTTTGAGAATTTCATCAGTTGTGTTTTGGAGGTATTATCCCTTTCAATTCAATTCAATATAATCGAAGGGGAGAAAATACATTTCTGCACACATTTGGCATGGTTTAACATGCGAGTTTCGTCAGTAGAGATTCAATAAATAAAATTGTTTACATGTTGAATTTTCAGACGATGAGGACGATTCTGCCCTTCCCCAGCAACAGTTAGACTTCCAGCAGACATCTCATCAGTTTGGTCGCCACCCAAACAAAAGAGGGCGCCCCAGGAAACACTCTGACCTCCAGATGGAGCTGCAGGACTCTGACGGCCAGGGAGGCCAACAGGTCAGTGGTACCAAGGTCTGGAGGAACACAAGATCCCTATTGTTTAAGATAATTACTTTTATAAAAACGTTTTTGTTTTTGTTTATGAAAATTTATGCATTGAAGGAAAGGGTAAGATAGATGATAAGTGATATTTAGAAGAGTTCTAAGGGGTTATTCATTCTCACCAATCATAAAAGTCTATACAATTGTTCATCTCCGTCTCACCCGCCAGGTCATCCTGCTGCAGATCGACTCTGGTCATGTGATCCAGATGCAACCAGAGCAAGTCCAACAGCTGCGGCTGGCAGACGTTGGCCTGAATCAGCACAGCCTGGAGGAGACAGAGACAGAGGAGGAGGAAGGGGAACCCCAGGCTTTAGACGCTGCCACTCCTGTGACCTCACCACAGAAAGATGGAGATCTGGTGAGGGAGAAAGTGAACAAAAAATCTTAAAGATAGTGCGACTTGTTTTTCTTTTTTCTTTTTTTTTTTTTTTTTTTTTTAATGAGAAATCTATTTTTTTTTTATCTTCAGAGGCATTTGTGGGAAAGCACTTTTTAAAAAATTTTCTGCACTTAAGATTTAAATGTTAAGATGATGACAGTTTTACGAATAATATTTGCTGGTACTATAGGTATTGTTTTTGTTTTGTTCTGTTCTTAAAAGCAAAAGCACACTTTGAATCTTTAAGGATATTTCATTTGTATGCAAAAAAAAAAAAAAATCAGCTCTCGGAATTGAATGGTATTATTATTTATTTATTTCATCTATTTCTTTATTTTGTTGCAGACTGTGACCCCTACCAGACGTAGTACACGTAGGAGCAGCAGTAGGCGGGGTACTGAGGGGGAGGGAGAGATCTCAGAGGAAGTGTCACCTGAGGTGGACACACCCACCAGACAGACCAGGTAAGACAGGCTGTCAGGAGAAATTGTCCCATTGGTTCTAATGGTATTTTTTAAAGGGGGGGGGGGGGTATTCACCTGTTCTTAGAGCGTATGTGAAATATGAACAAAGCTCCATCAAACATCTGTGCAGAAAACACTTTAAAGTTAGGATAAAGTATACTCTTATCATCATGACACCTTTCAGAAACTGAAATAGACTGAATAAATTTTTATGATAAATTAAATGACATCAACATAGCAAAGATTAAAAATTAGTTATTTTCCTCTCATATCTAAGACCGAACATAACTAATGTTAAAATCAGCAGTCAAAATTTAATTCTGTGATGAATTTTTTGGGAAAAGGACAATCTCTTTCAAACTGGAAAATGGGGGACAAAATAACCAGGATAGATAGAGTACACTGTAGTATGTTTTCACACCTATTTCCAGGAGTACCAGGAAGAGGACTGCCTCTGGGACACCTGAGGAGGTGGGGACACCTGCCAAGAGACAAGCTGGTCCCCAGGGGACACCCAGGAGAGGGCGGGGCAAGGGGGACAACCCAGGTGAGGATGAAAAGAAACGTGAAGAACAGAAGAAGAAGGACATTGAGACGTGTTTTGGATTTGACATAGAGGGCGGAAACCAAGACAATCCACAGCAATAGCTACCCATTGCCTCTCCCTAGTGAACATTGACATTATTAAGAAAAAGAATTTAAAACTGTGAGAGAGACAGTTTATATTGATAGAATGTTCATACAAAAATATTGATACTTTTGAAAGAAGGATGTGGGAATCAAGCTTTCATGATGATATGACAGTCATCTGAATGTGAAAGTTATCATTTTTATTGTTAAAAAAGACAAATTTAAATTACTGAGACTCGGTGAAAGAAATAGTTCAGATTTTGAATTTCTTTCATTGTAGCCTGAAGGCAGAATCGTGACATTGTCATCAAGACAGACCTGAAACTTTTATTTCACAGAAAATATTTTCACCTAGAAACAACATCAATAAATTCAAATAGGTACAAATGTTACAAACAGTGCCCCCATTCAATGACAGTGGGGAAAGGATAAAACGTGCAGTTTGATGTGAAATATTATAAAAGACAGTGGAACCTTCCAGAAATAGATTGAGGATAATGCAACCATATACTTTGTACAGATTAGACATTATCAATGTGTGTATAAAAGCAGTATATTATATTGTATATGTTATGTGCCACTGCAGTATTAGTGTTAGAATTCCATGTAAATATTGCCGTCATGTTACACGTTTATATGGGGAGGAATTGTTAAAATGCTAGGGCCCATCCCAGAGGCGTTACCAGACCCCTGTGGCTACATAACAACTTCTGCTGGAATTGTTTCATTGAGCAGTGGAATATGAAGTCTCATCAGTGGAACTCTAAGCGAGATTTTAGGATTTTATTATCCAACATTGGGAATATGGAATTATGAATAACAGTGGTATAGTGTTGCCATGGCAACATCCAGTAATGACGTAGGTGTTCTTTTCACATCGAACTAGACCAGTAAATATACCGCTTGGTGTGAAAATGGTCCTAGAAAGACCGTCACCAGCTTGTCTGCATTGATGACAATATTCAGCTTATAATTTTGGATTTGAATTATATAACATTTGCTTTATTTGTCCATTCATTCCTCGCATCTTTTCCATAAAGCATATACACATGCACTTGGCTATGGAGAGTCTTGAGTGCTGGAAGCTTGCAAGAGATAAGAGCAATTAGATGGCTATCCAAAGATTTACAAGTTGTAGAGATCATTAGAGTAGATTTGTGAAAGGAAAAACTGCTGAAAAATACTGGCCTTATGCGAATTTTGTAATTAAACAAGAAATACTTGGAAGTACCAGGGTGAATAAGAAAGGCTGCAGACGTGCTCTGAATCTCTGTTGTGCTTGACATTGAAAAGAATAAATTAATAAAACAAGTTGAATGATGAAAGATTGACTCCAGCTGGTCTCACGGTTTTAATTTGCAAAACGTTGGTTGAAAGTTTCGACTCGTCGATCTTCTGGGTTTGACGGTGTTTTTTTCTTGTAGCACAAAGAGAACATAACATAATAATTATTACAATGTCATTAATTTTTCGTTCTAAAAAGACTTCTGTTCTCCCTGAATTAATCGTCAAGTTTCCTTGCGCTCAAATCTGTCCCTTTGTCAAATCTTAAATTTATTTAATATACACTACATGGGTTGGCAAATCCCCCAAATGCTTTCCTCTGCCATCCACAGCGTCTTATAAAACCTTACATACACCTTAAAAACTCTTTAACCCCTTTAATGAGTTTTTTTTTTGTCTGGAGTGTACCTGATGTTGATACTTCCATAGGAGGTTAGGAAGATGGTTGCTAATTATAATGACTGGCCAGTCGTTTAAGAATAAATCAACCTCATAATTTTAAAAGTCAAATCCTAGTGCAAGAGGGCTCGATAGATGATTCGTGAGGACCCATTTTGGCGAGTAAATCCCAAGGACTTGCCCTATAACCATCGTACATTGTCCCGTCACGAGAAATATATTCTGTTTGTAAACGTTTCAACCTTGTAATTCCATGCAATTAAAGCAAATTATAGCGATGATATCGAGAAACAACAAAGCAGTGTTATCTTATATTCAAATCCATCTTATACAACAGCTCGGTTCATTCTGCTATCGTAATGATATGATGCACTAATTACAACCTAAGAACATACGCGTGCCAGCTTCTAACCTTACGGCACGCAACTTTATGCATACTCTCTGAAATCGGGGTCCTCGAAAATAGTAAGCCTATACAAAATTAAGATATGAGCACATGTAATAATTTTGTAACAGACTACTAGCGGGCCCTGTGGTTAGATAGTACTCTATAATTTGGGTAATTATACCTCTGTCTGTCATTGGAGCCGGTCATGCTGTAAACAGTGGTCAGTATTGTGGTCCAAACATTGGTCAGAAACCACGTACCCACTGATGTGCCGAAGACGCCAGACGATTTTGAGAGGGAAAGAGGACATACTGGTGAGTGTGGACATGTTTTATGTTGACCAGTAAGGTGCACTACCCCAAAGAACTTCGTAAGTGTCGTCTGCGAGAGAGAGAGAGAGAGAGAGAGAGAGGCTGTATAGCTTGAAAAACTACAATGTGTGTTAAAATACTTTGTCTGGTGTAGTAGTTTTGGGCCTATGTGCCACAAAGATTTATGAAAGTTTTTGTTGTAGAAAGGTTTTTGTCTTGTTTGTCTTATTTTCTTGACAATTCGGCCTTACTAGGCGTAGGGAAGCAGTTTAGGCTGGAACAAGAAGTTATAACTTCTTGGGCTGGAATAACCGTATCACCGGTACATTGGTTTCCTTATCAAACGCGTATCGTAGTATACTCGCGAACAGTTTGGACACACATATAATTCTTTGTTCGCTTTAAAAAATATTCTAATTTACCACACGTTAAAAAACATATGATTCTGTTTCAGGGGAGCCGTTGCTGTAAGATAAGACAGCAAAGATGCACTTCACTCTAGTTGCCCTTTGCATCAGCATACTGCTGCATGGTAAGTATTGTATGATCTCGCGTATAGATTTTAATGAATTCAGTTTTCATCAGCAGATCAATTTTAATTTCTGAGTTACTCTTTCTTTAATATAAAACAATTACTTATGCTCGAAGAAAGTACAACTTTCTGGAATTTTACAAATGTACACGGTTGTAGGCTGAGGGTCCCAATTTTTATACCTCCTGTGGTACTCAACTTGACACCAACATAGGAGAAAGTTAGAGACTTCTGGGCTCCGTAACTCGAAAGCATCGCGAAAAGCGATATCACAGTAAAGCAGATTATAGCGATGATATCGTGGGGGTGGGGGTGGGGGGGGGGGGGGGAGGAGGGTATTGATGTACCGGGGTGTAAGATACGTAATTGACATTATTCAAAGAATTTACGAAAAGTTTTTTTTTTTTTTTTTTTTTTGGGGGGGGGGGGGGGGCTAAATGGGTTACATTAGCTCTTTCAGGTAAGCATAATCTGTAACAACATCAGCACAATCAAACAATTTTTGCAAAATATAATGTTATTTTGTTGTTGTTCATATTGCTGCATTTTTACTGGTGGTTTATTTGTGTAATTGTTGCTTAGTTGTTCTTGTTTACTATAACTTCCATTGCATTTTATTTTTCATTTCAGGTGAAACAGGCAGCGTCCCGTCCAGCAGAAAGACCAAACCTGCGTCGACACCATTAGTGCAGCCTTTGGCAGGACCCACTGTGGAAACTTCCTTTGAAGTTGGTACCCCTTTTCTAACGCTTTCAAACAACTCCGTATGTCCACGCACGCTCCGGCCAAAAGGACAGTTCGTTGTTACTTTGGCTCCTTCTGAGGCCCCAGAGAGTTCTGAGGACACCCATTATTCCTCTGAATCCGTCCTCAACGCAAAATGGATCCACAAAATGAACCACAATTTAACTTGCACACAAAAACAGACACCAACTCGAGGAATACCCAGAACGGATTCGGACAAAAGAGGTTCGCTCATGGAAAATGTGGGTAAGTCAGGGTTCGCATCCATCTGATCTCGAGTCGAAGGGATGACGTTCGCAGAACACCCTTGATTTAAGTATTATTTAAACATTTATTGTTTCCAGTCTCCACTTTTTCTTCGTGGTGAGGCCTTGCATGATCACGTGTTGTCGAATCCATAATTCATATGCTTACTCACTGACTAAAACACATTTTTTTAATATCTCGTATTCCTAAAAATAAATAAAAATAATCATGTTTTTCTGTGTGTCAATAGGTGCCAACCAACTTCTCACACTGTCAGATCTCTTCAAAGAAGACGCACCACGTGACGCTGTGTTTATCACGGAGGTGCCAAGAAACGGCGCTTCGTTTTTCACAAACACCAAGTACGTGGCACACTGCAATCTGAGCAAAAACAACAACAATATGGCGGTCATACGCGTGGTGAACCCCCACCGCATCTTGCCGCTCGTCGGTGGAGACCTCAATGTTTTCTCTTCGGTGGAACCGCCAGATGGTCTCGTTGAACACTGGGTCAAGCGACTGGGCACCAAAGCCAGGCCCAGTTTCGTCCGCCTTGACAACATAACACAGAGCGCCACCTTTCTGACGCCGTATCCCATTGAGCAGTTACCTGCCGACCAACACCATGTGGATCCAGACTTGCACTATAGAGCTCTTAGCAAACAGTTCATAACAGAAGTCGATGCCACTCAACCAAAGGTTTTGTTAAACCCGGTCATCCCTTGCGTAATCAAGCTGACCCACGGAATGGGAGGAACAGGGGTCTTTCTGGTGACCACTGGTGATGACTTACAACTAACTCAGCAGAAAATTCTCCAGTCTCACCCATCCTCGGATACCATCGTCACGGAAATGGTGACAGACCTGAAATCGCCGGAATACAGCGCCCATTTCTACGTCAACAAAGCCGGCGTTGTCACGTGGTGGGAGGCAGTAGAACTGATTCAAGATAGCGAGAACAAAACTATCGGAACAATGTGGATGAAGAACAACACCGGTCTGAGAGCCATTATGGAACCGTTCGTCCTTGCAGTGGCGAACTCGCTCCATCGTGTCGGGTACTATGGTCCCGCGGGCTGTGACGTCTTGCACGACGGGTCACGTGGCTACCTCGTGGACATCAACCCCCGAGTGACCTGCTCTATGCCGCTGTGCCTGATGGCTAGAGAGATGAGTGACCGTGGGTGGTCAGTTGGTGTGATGACCCGCTTGCGCTATGCGCAGGGATCCGTAAATGACGTCATAGCACGTGCAGAACGCGTCACGGACGCCGAGGTGGTGGTTCTGAGTGCTAGTGAGGTAACCAGTGACATAACTGCGACGTATGTGGCGGTGTTCGCAGACAGTCGAGAAATGTGTGAGCACGTGCTTCAAAATCGTATGAATTTTCTGTGCAAATACAAATGACNTTCAGGTAAGCATAATCTGTAACAACATCAGCACAATCAAACAATTTTTGCAAAATATAATGTTATTTTGTTGTTGTTTATATTGCTGAATTTTTACTGGTGGTTTATTTGTGTAATTGTTGCTTAGTTGTTCTTGTTTACTATAACTTCTATTGCATTTTATTTTTCATTTCAGGTGAAACAGGCAGCGTCCCGTCCAGCAGAAAGACCAAACCTGCGTCGACACCATTAGTGCAGCCTTTGGCAGGACCCACTGTGGAAACTTCCTTTGAAGTTGGTACCCCTTTTCTAACGCTTTCAAACAACTCCGTATGTCCACGCACGCTCCGGCCAAAAGGACAGTTCGTTGTTACTTTGGCTCCTTCTGAGGCCCCAGAGAGTTCTGAGGACACCCATTATTCCTCTGAATCCGTCCTCAACGCAAAATGGATCCACAAAATGAACCACAATTTAACTTGCACACAAAAACAGACACCAACTCGAGGAATACCCAGAACGGATTCGGACAAAAGAGGTTCGCTCATGGAAAATGTGGGTAAGTCAGGGTTCGCATCCATCTGATCTCGAGTCGAAGGGATGACGTTCGCAGAACACCCTTGATTTAAGTATTATTTAAACATTTATTGTTTCCAGTCTCCACTTTTTCTTCGTGGTGAGGCCTTGCATGATCACGTGTTGTCGAATCCATAATTCATATACTTACTCACTGACTAAAACACATTTTTTTAATATCTCGTATTCCTAAAAATAAATAAAAATAATCATGTTTTTCTGTGTGTCAATAGGTGCCAACCAACTTCTCACACTGTCAGATCTCTTCAAAGAAGACGCACCACGTGACGCTGTGTTTATCACGGAGGTGCCAAGAAACGGCGCTTCGTTTTTCACAAACACCAAGTACGTGGCACACTGCAATCTGAGCAAAAACAACAACAATATGGCGGTCATACGCGTGGTGAACCCCCACCGCATCTTGCCGCTCGTCGGTGGAGACCTCAATGTTTTCTCTTCGGTGGAACCGCCAGATGGTCTCGTTGAACACTGGGTCAAGCGACTGGGCACCAAAGCCAGGCCCAGTTTCGTCCGCCTTGACAACATAACACAGAGCGCCACCTTTCTGACGCCGTATCCCATTGAGCAGTTACCTGCCGACCAACACCATGTGGATCCAGACTTGCACTATAGAGCTCTTAGCAAACGGTTCATAACAGAAGTCGATGCCACTCAACCAAAGGTTTTGTTAAACCCGGTCATCCCTTGCGTAATCAAGCTGACCCACGGAATGGGAGGAACAGGGGTCTTTCTGGTGACCACTGGTGATGACTTACAACTAACTCAGCAGAAAATTCTCCAGTCTCACCCATCCTCGGATACCATCGTCACGGAAATGGTGACAGACCTGAAATCGCCGGAATACAGCGCCCATTTCTACGTCAACAAAGCCGGCGTTGTCACGTGGTGGGAGGCAGTAGAACTGATTCAAGATAGCGAGAACAAAACTATTGGAACAATGTGGATGAAGAACAACACCGGTCTGAGAGCCATTATGGAACCGTTCGTCCTTGCAGTGGCGAACTCGCTCCATCGTGTCGGGTACTATGGTCCCGCGGGCTGTGACGTCTTGCACGACGGGTCACGTGGCTACCTCGTGGACATCAACCCCCGAGTGACCTGCTCTATGCCGCTGTGCCTGATGGCTAGAGAGATGAGTGACCGTGGGTGGTCAGTTGGTGTGATGACCCGCTTGCGCTATGCGCAGGGATCCGTAAATGACGTCATAGCACGTGCAGAACGCGTCACGGACGCCGAGGTGGTGGTTCTGAGTGCTAGTGAGGTAACCAGTGACATAACTGCGACGTATGTGGCGGTGTTCGCAGACAGTCGAGAAATGTGTGAGCACGTGCTTCAAAATCGTATGAATTTTCTGTGCAAATACAAATGACTGAAATGTAATCCAAACAAGTAGAATGCTCAGTATTATCATTAATTTTCAATTTGAATGTTTTGGCAAATTTTCAGCAAATATGACTGTGATCTGTTTGCCTGTGGCATTTAGTTATTAGTCAGTTCGTTGTAATAGCCCTTCTAATATTTATAATCACTAGCGTTGTGTGTGTGTTTGTGTGTGTGTGTTATTTTATTTCTGCAAATGTTTTAATTTGCCTTCGGTTTTTGTTGTCATATTGTCCAATGTGCATTTGTAGGCCCCTACTTCCCTTATAAAACACTATGAAAATATTTTTTCTTTTCTTATTTTATTTATTTATTTATTTTTTGACGTGAAGGAAACCATTATACACTGTATGTATAAATATGCTAACAGACGGTTCTTAAAGAAATACCGTTTTTGGTGAAATTCCGATGAATTTGCCGGCGTAAGATTTAACACAAGAGGATGGGAATCGCCTATCTCGATTGCTTGTTTTTTGTTTTACAGCGAGGAATTCTCACGCGGGTCAAAAGGTTGGGCATAGTGACGGGGAGGAAAGGACAAGACCAACGCTCTATAAATTCAACCCAAAATTAATTCACCAAGAACGCGGGGAGGGGGGAGATATGCTGGCTCTCTTTAAACCCCCTTTACAATCGACGGCGTTCTTTGTGCGTCCTTTGTGCGACCATGAAACTAGCATCGCTTTGGTTGTTAAAAGGAGGCACAAGCATCGCTTTGGTTGCAGAAAGAATGCTCAATGATCGGCCAGTTGTCGGCAAGTAAAGTTTTTCCCCTCAAACGGGGCTGTACTACGGGACGCAGAAAGGACGCCGCCCAGTGTGAAGGGGGCTTTACCGCATTAATCTTTATCAGGCATTTTAAAAGACAATCTTACATCTTAGCAGTTCACCAAGAGGGAATTTACAATTCGCTTTATTTTAGTAGATATCTTGAGTTAATTTCTCTATATTACAAAATGCTTTCATCAAAACTCAACAATTTTACAGTAATCTTCATTTACATGTTAACGAGAATGTCCGATTACAAAACTGTAATTCGGTGTTACAATAACAACTCGGCAAATACTTTAAGGCCATAACTATGTTTTATGTTTAACAGATATGCATTACACATTTATCATACTGAACCACTCTCATGCAATATCATATTAACTAGGGATGCTTTTCCAGTAAACATCAGAATGACGCAACTGGACTTGCTTCACAAGCAATGAAAGTGTTTTGCATTTAAACGATTATTATTTTATTTCGATGGAGAACTGCAGATTTAACTCTGAGCGCGTTTTACATATAAAGTCTTAAGTCTTTGGGCCTCTCTCGGGGAACGTAACGTTGACGGCACATAAAAACGTTTTAAGGCTCATACTCACAAAATGAGCCACTGAAAATAAAAACAATTGTCAAAATCATGCTCTTAGGCGAAATACTGAAAACCTCTGCCTACAGTTTGACACTAGTATTCATTCGTAAAAGAAATTGAGGCCCCATATGTAACATAGTCCGGCCGCCTCTTGATTTATACAGGTTCACGTTAGCGTGACGTAAGTGGTCAAAACCTAGGACGGGATTTACCTGCATAAATCTACAGGAACCTAACCCTGTATAACGGTGAGCTCTCCATTAATTATAAACGATTTTGACCAGTCAAAGGTAGTGTAATCTTTGAACTTGTTCCATGCAGTGTAGACCACTCTCAGAGGAGTATTGTAGACCAAAAACTCGACGTCATCTCCAAGGGGCGGATCCAGAGCTATTTTTTGGCAGTCTTCCAAATTAGCTTTGTTGATCCATCCTCCATTTTTGACCGTCTTCCGACAGAAAAAATTAGATAACCGTCAATGTAAACTTGAAAATCTGACCGTCTTCCGGAAGACTCAGAAGACTGCCTCAATCCGCCCCTGAATTCTGCATTCTGCAATCGATTGATGACAAAAGTTTGGCTGGTATACGCTATACAATGTAACACCCCATTTCCATAGATTTTTAGATCGATCTATCCCTGTGGGGAGTCTCACTAGATTACTGTCAGCTTAGCCGGCTTAAGCGTCTGCCCCACCTACTAAAAGCTGTAAGGGGGTAATTAACTATGGTGCCCGCTCGGCTGACTGCAATTTAACGTGAACCCCCAGGGAGTTAGGTCGACCTAAATCTCAATCTTTAAATCGATCTAAATCTCAGGGAAAGCACCCTAATATTGTTTCTGTCTGATTAAACGTTAATACAAAGTGGTCGGATGTGACATAAAAGAGTGCTGGTCGCTGTGTGCGGCATGGTTGGCGGTTTCTTCAAAATCTCGTAGGCGGATGGAAGACACCACTTGCTGTCGTGGGACGTTCGTTGTCTCATCAATTGAGTCTAAATCCTCCGCGGCGTCCTTGTTTTCAATCAAATCCACCTTCCTTTCTGCCTTAAGGGTGGTGCGAGAGTGGGAATAATAAAGCATGAAGTTATTAACGATGATCGGGACAGTCAGAGCCAGACAAAGAACCCCAAAGAACGCTGAAATAGCCCCTACGATATATCCTAGGCCAGAGGAGGGGACGAATTCACCATACCCTACTGTTGTCAGTGTGACAATGGACCACCATAAGGTCAAGGGAATGTTTTTAAAGTCGCTTTTCTCGTTGTTATAGTTGTCTGCGTAGAACATCAGTGTCGAGCAGATCAACATTGTTATAAGGAGAATGATAAGTGTCAGTGTTATCTCCGCCAAACTTTCCTTCAAGGAGTACAGAATCACTTTCATGCCGGTGTACGACTTCGTGAGGCGGAAAATTCGAAATACACGTGCTATCTTCAGGATATTGATAAAGTCAAACACAGTCTTTCCGAATATGGCTTCTGGGTTGGAATTGATAATCGCCAACTCGGCGTAAAATGGAACGATGGCTAACAGATCGATTATGGTGAGAGGGTACACAAAGAAGTGCAGTTTATTGGGACTAAAAATGAAACGCATGATCAAATCAAAGGTGAAAAAACTTGCACACGTGAAGTCCACCAACAGCAAGGCAGGGTGTAAAATTTCATAGTGTTCTTTCGCTGATTCAGCTCCGGACTCATTAACGCTCTTCTCGAAATGTGCCGTGATGTCGTGGAAACTCTCCGCACCTACTCCGAAGAAGGAGAGGGTAAAAGCCCAGGCAGGGTCCCCTGGGCTGACGTGGAAAAATGGGTGTGAGTCCAGAACGAACACCATGATGGACATCAGCACTAGCAGCAGAGAGATACTTGCATAGATCTGGAATATAATAATAATAATAATAATAATAATAATAATAATAATAATAGAGAAATGTGTGTTAAACAAGAAGGCAACTAAAGCAGGGGTTAGAAACATCCAAACTATATATGGGGCCATCCATTTTTATCATCATTATCACAAATCTACAAACCGCAAGCTGGGAGTGAAGGGGGTGAGGGATATTACCCGCTGTACGCTCTTGGAAATAGATTAAAATTATGAACTTCACCCCTAGGTATGTGCTGGCAAAGTTCATCATTTTGACTTTTTACTTTGTACTCTCTAAAGAGGGGAGGAGGGGTCTGGAAAAAGTACTATTTGTAAACTTGTCAAAATGATGATAAAAACGGCTGGCCTAAATGTATTGATCGCCATATCTGTACCTTACGTGTATACAGTGTCGACAGTATAAAGAATGATGCTCCATAGGCATAGGGTCCCAATTTGCTGCTCAGAGCGACTTTTTAAATATATCGTTACTTTAAGTACAGCTGAGAGTGACGCGGCGTGAAGCAGTACACATTGTGAGCAAACTTGAGTTGAAGTGGTACGGTGGGTTTCTTGTCTTTAATTCATTCTCAAGTTGTTAAACTAGTCTTTTTGAACCACGCACAATATATATAAAAAATGCACTTAAAAACTTAAAAGTAATGATTTAAATAAAGCAAACCTTTGCAAACAAAGAAGAGCCCGGATTTTCCAAATCTGTCCAAACTCGGCGTCTTGCCGACTGCCACGTGGTCACGCGATCCCCACGGTAGCGAGATTTGTACGGCGACTTTCCTAGAAAAGAATCAAATTTGGCCAGCGATTCTTTCCTCTCTTGGTAACTAGAATACGTCGTCCAGCAGCAGTCCTCCATTTCAAACTCACTAATACCCCAGAATTCCAACTCGGCTTTCACCGCCGGACCGCACGCTGTGATGGGCACATGGAGACCTCCCGTGCGGTAGTAATTTAATACCGACTCGAATATCCCAGGGTGCCGGTCAAAGAAATAGTCGTCCTTTTCGGCTCTGTAGTGCTTTTTAAGTTCGTCGAGGTGTGGGAGGATGCTGCCATGCTTGCCCTTCAAAGTGTCCCATCTCACCTCGTGGATGACGCCCCCAACGTTGAGGCGCAGCGTCTCCGTGGAGCGTTCACCGTTTCTGGCGGTCGCCAGGTGGTGGACGGGATCCCCATTCAACAACATCACCGCTGACATCTTGTTGAGAGAATGGATCTGTCGCACAGGGGAAGGTTTGTCCACGCGGCACTTGGCCTTGCGGTGTCCAGATTCCGCCCAGGACCTGATAAATTGATGGACAGCAATGTTAAAGTACATTTATAAGGTAGCAGCTTGTAAGAAGTCAGTTGGAGCGAAAATTGGGCCCAAATCGACATGCCTGACTGAGGTAATCAGTTCACTGATTTGAGGATAGTCGTTTAGAAAATTCATTTTGACAGATATTAAGATTACGATCTCATTATTTGGACGTTGCTTGCAAATAATCAAACTTGACACTAATTACCTTCAAAGTGCCATGTAACGCTATGGCATTGTTAAATAATTGAGGTGAAATTGCGGAATCTGCTTTCAATGTAAAATATAAAGCTGTGACACAGGTGTTATTAGAGAGGATAAAGCAACTGCTTAAAATAAAACATCCAGAATCCTATCTGTCATCACATTTAAAACTTCCATTACATTTAGTCACGACATAAACTGGGCATGACAAGAAAGAGAACACCATTCAGTGTATAACCGATTTCTTTGAAGGAAAACCTTGTCATTGAACGTAAAGGTACTTTATGACAGCTGACTTAATCAATTATGAACCATTATCGATTTAAGCAAATGCCTTCGGCAGCTACCTGACTTAGAGCATGGCTTGAAGTACAGTGTAAGGTCGTTAAAGAGGGGGACGAACAGTGCCAATATGACAGTGATTTAAAAAGTGTGCGGGGAGGACACAATCTCTGCTTCGACCGGGGTCACAAAAGAACTTACGTTCGAAAATTAATCCTATCTTTTAAATAAAAATTACGGTCTTTTTTTTCGGTCCAATATAAATTCCAAGTAGTCTACTTAAATAGAGTAAGTTTTGGTTTGAGACATCAGCCATTACTTAAAAATATGTTATTGGTCTTCTATCAAAACACATTGGATCAATAAAGTAGAAATTTTGGACAAAAAGTTAAGACATATTCTATATCTGGGCTACAGTTCTTGAAAATGTCCAGTCTGGCTAATTTACTCATACCTTATGATGGAGTCCATGATGAAAAAGGGTCCCAATCCTAAGCAGACAAAAAGCAACCATTTCATGAGAGACGAATGACTTATTCATGGATGATCTATAATAATTTCACCTAAACATGATATATCTAATACTCAGTGTGAATATTTCATATTAAACACGGCATTTGTAAAGTGAAGTCAGTCATTTGCACCTGAATAGAAGTAAACACCACACTTTCTTGATCATGACTCAGATTTGGATTTCATGCCGAACTGATTGATTTTAAAAAATGTACTATTTGTTTCATCACGGGCCTGAGGCCTATAGACATATATGCGAAATAAAGAAATAAAAATAAGAAAATATTGCAATAAGAGTTTGTAAAAAGAACAATGTTTTCAAAATTATCCGTCACTCGAATAGAAACAACAGTCTGTATTGTCCACTGATGATCTACACCAGACCCAAAAAGTTCGGAAGCTGAAGTAATAAAATTGTTTTTCGATCATTTAAAAACTACGTACATAAAATAGTAACGAATGGCGGGTGCATTATCCATCATTATTTGGTTAAATATGTACCTTAGCTCATATGATTATTTTTTTAATTATTCAAAATAAGGATGTTTCCGAACTTTTTTGGGCGGGTGTATTTCTAGGACATAGGTCAAATATGAATGAATCCCTTTAAAATAACATTATCCAGCTTGTGGCCGATAATTACTTTGGGTATATAGTCACGGCCTATCTTTGATAAATTCGAACAAAACTTTTGAAAAAGATCGGAAGCTTTTTAGTTTCTGTAAACGGCTCTGTTCCCTCTGTTACATTTAATGTTATATACGTTCTTCGCATGTGCTTTATACAGTTTTAATAATCACATATCTCTCAGTAAGGCGGTAAGGTCTTTTGCGTTAGTAGATTTGAATCTCCTCAGGCCAACTGCCTGACTGTGAACTTGAACCCGACTGTGCCCTATAATTTATCATTACTACTATGTCACTGTATATTTTAGTGTTTTAAATGGCCTAATCATATACAATCCAACTAAGCCAAGTCTAACCTTAGCACAATGTATGTGCTCTAAGTTAAGGTTAAACTGACAATCGATGTTAAAGTTGAAACATTAGCTGTTGCCAACTGTTTACGCTTCATTACTCAGCCTAATTAGTAGTTCAAAGATCCCGATGGTGGCAGGTAAGTTCTAGGCGTATATTTATGTACAGCGACTTCGGGAGTTTAATGTCTAGAGATGGAGAAAGAAGATATGAGAGAGAACCTTGTACTTATGTTTCCTCCCCCATGCCTCAATGACGATTTAGTTCACTTAGATGATGTTGATAAGCTTTCATTAAATTCAAAATCTTAACAACTACCGTCAGTCATAAATACTGTGACACTTGAATCAGTCCACTGCGGTCACTATCTCGTAAACTGACCAGCCTCCAAATTACTGAAAATGTAATTACCTCGGTTGTTTATCCTTTTTCAAGATTTGACAGGCTATCAACTTAGTTGTTTGTCTTAAAAGCACGACTTGACCGGTGTCAAACTTACTTTTGATACATGTAATAAATTTAAAACTACACCAAGTATCTGATCTGTCTTGATGCAGTTTGCTTCAAACACAATGCTGTACAAGTTGATAACAGTACCGTGACTAACGGCCTCTACACAATAATTTGTCTACCTAGATATTGCTCACTTACTTCACGGGCACACTCGCTGAATGCAATCAGATTAACAGACTGCCACGCCCCCTCTTGTTTTCAGCGTACTCGTATAATCACCAACTTTTCTGTATTCTACTTGCAGAGAAGCTAGGTCGATAAATTCAAATAGTAAACGAGATCTTATTATACAGGCCTGTAGCCGGGGGGGGGGGGGGTTAAAAGAACCGCCCTTTTTGCTGGGAAAAGGTCCACTTTGGATAAAATTTGATCTAGGTACATGAAGGTTTTATGGTGAAAGGTCCACATTTTCAGAAAACGAACCCCCCCCCCTTTTGAAATAGCTGGCTACGGGCCTGTTATATATTACACGTGGTGTGCTTTGATATTCTGTGGGTGTGAAAGTAGTTTTTACTTTGTTAAGTCAACATTATTTCCGTTTTGTTGTTGTACTGGTGTGATATGAAAATAATCTTTCGGCCATGTTCTATGTAGTTTTTGACATATTCGGTCTTTCTTGAAAGTTTTCAGACAAAACTCCCTCGTCCGATTGTCACCTCGATCGGTATTGAATCCAAAAACCACAAAAGACATGTTTTAAGTATACCTCACTGGTCTACTGTAATGAAAAAAAAAGTCAAAAGGATTTTTAAAAATTGCATAATATCTCTTTTATATTTCTTTTAGAAAGCTTAAAAATGGCATTTTTACATAGCTTAAAGTGTATGTTATAATCTAAGGGATGCTTGCTACCGTTCACTTTGCTTAGTTTAATAAAAACTACACATATCGTTTTATCATGTACGGGCAAAACCCTTTGAGTATCTTGAAGTTGACAGAGGAATGAATAGCCAATACCAGGAAGTACGAATGCCAGGAAAATCTTAATAATTGTTTCGCCCCCCGTATCCCGGGGGCGAATCCAAAGATATTTTCTGACAGTCTTCCAAATTATCTTTGTTGATCCATCCTCTTTTTTTTTTTACCGTCCTCCAACAGAAAAATTAGATACCCGTCAAACGTAAACTTGAAAATCTGACCGTCTTCCGGAAGACCCAGAAGACGGCTTCAATCCGCCTCTGAATAATCCTACGTGCTTTTAGCTCATTGCTATAAATGAGACGATTTTAAGTCTTGCTTTCGTTTCTTAGAAGTCAGCTTAGTCGGCTTAAAATTTTGATGATGCCACACTGTATTAGACTCAGAAGACTAACCCCAACAAATACCATCTTGACAGGAACCCATAACGTTAGACTTAAAAAAAAAAGCTTTGGTATTTAACCTGGGTAACATTACGAAGCCTAGGGTAGTATGCGTTATTGAATTCATATACAATATACAATATACTTCTCCACGGCCCCATACCTGTATTGTCTTACACACACTTAGTGTGCTGTTGTATGAACTTACCTTGTTTTCACTCAACCAACATCACGTAAGTTAAACGTGTATCAGTTGTGTTAGCCCTCTTATGATTTCATGCAAAGTCCAGAAATTGAGAAACGACGGTCTTCGGTCTGGCTGCGTAACCCCCGGCCTTACCTATGTGTCCACCCACGCCCCAGTGAAACAGCCGAGCTTATCTGTCGCACATTTACCGTCAAACATGAATGCACTGATGCGCTTCGCCTGACTATATGACACTGCGTTAAACGGTAACAGCACGGAATTCCTCACACTCCGAAGTTTTAGTTTATATATAGATCCTGGCTGTGATTTATGCCCAACTTCTAAATAAAAGTCACATGGTTTCATAGGTCTTGTCGGTACGTTTTCATCTCAGATATGCCCAACGTCCTACCGTCTTCCCTTCTTGAGAACTAATATTCTACACATCCTCATGTCTTGTTTTCGCTTTAAAAAACACAAGGCGCTGGTAGCTGTTCAGCTATCATAGTGTTGTATCGTCTGTATGTCATACACATTAAATAATAGATACTTACCTGGTGTGATCGGCGAAATGCGGGATGACACGATATGTGCTTTTCTAGAATATAGTTCTCCACTTAAAGAGGGTTAAGGAAGTGGGACAGTGCGTGTTCTGTTTAAATACGTGCATTGCCAAAATAGATAGGTCTCAGATGTGTACTTTTCTGATATTGACAAATAAAAGTTTTTTTAGTGGGGATTCAATTATTTCTTTGAAGTCACCCCCTTCCCCCCCCCCCAAAAAAAAAAAAAAAAAGTGAGATATAATATTACTGCAATTTTCTCACGGTGGAACCGGCTGTTTGTAAGATCGCATATTTAGAGACCATAACATTGAAATCACTATCTTGATAAAATTTAAAAATGTTCGTGCGACTGATTTGAAATGTATTCTTTCCGGGATTTTCGCGATACATCTATTTTTTCTCGAAAAAAAAAAAAAAAAACTTTTTTCTGCCACTCACGAATCATTTCTTGACCCGTAGGTTAACTTGGGTTTGATATTTTGTACGATTTCAAAACAAATTATTTAGTTCGAAATATCAGACCAGACATTTAAACCTCCATGTCATGAAATATCGACATTAGGTTATTTTATTTGAGAGGCCTTATCGTTTTTTAAGTCTAAATTGGAAAGATTAGTGGTTTTGTACCATATATTGACAGAGGAAATAATATTATTTTGTGACATAGTTTACCTTTAATATAGTATTTACATATTTAATTTTGGTAAATGGCCGTCAATTTATGTTCAGTGGTTACATCCCAGTGCCAGCCGAAAAAGATTTAGGGACCATTCCCACAGATATTTGGATCAATCTATCTCCCCGGGGAGACTCACTAAATTGCCATTAAACCAACAGGCTTAAACGTTTGTCACGCCCAGTAAAACTGTTAGGAGGTAATTATCTTTACCCCTAGCTGATTCGGTAGGCGTGACAGACATTTAAGCCTCTTGAACTGATAGCAATTTAGCGTAAAACCCCAGGGAGTTAGGTCGATCCAGATGGATCGATCTAAGTATAGGAACCCAGTCTAAATGTTACTTATAGCATCTTCACTTTCGTACCTGCTAAAACCTCCTTTATACACTGATCTTTGTGCTAACTACGCTTATCGTAGAAAATATTCAACGAAATTTAGTGCATTTTAACTGTACACTTAAAGGCAAAGGGCGCACTTTATTTTTTATACCAAAATCTGTTTCTTTGCTTAGTAAACAATGTCTTCAACATTTTTTAATTTTAAAAAAATCTTTTACTGTGTGACCAAATGCATAAATTTTCATCTTTAAAGGTCTTCATAGTTAAGTTGTATAACTCTTTTCATAACCTTATATTTCTCGGGGTTCTTGTCAAGTCATTGCAAAAGGGAGGGGGAGTGACCAACTTGGCACATTGATTATGGTCATTCATGAGACAATGACTTGTAGATATTGTAAAGCACCTTCTTGATGACCTGTGATGACTACACGTTAATTAAACAGGTGGTTCTTCTGTGTCTGGCAGTACCCAAACTATCGATACTCATCCTTTGTTTTGGTCACTAAAACTCTTTTATGTTTTGGAAGCGCACGTGGCTTCTCATGTGTTTTGGTCCAGCACTCGGACTGGCCAGATAAATCAAACTTTTTTCACTTTCCTATGCCAGAAGGTGCCGGCACCAGACGATGTATTTTGGGCAATCTAGTTTTTAAAAAATGGCACAAGTGCCACACAAATTTAGTTGCATAAGTAGCACATGTCACAAGGGGACATTTAAAACATATAACGATTACCAAGTACCATGCTTTATTTTTCGTGTAACCTGATATATTAATTCTTTCCCAAAGTGATCTTTGGGTGACAGTGTATAAGCATACCCGGTGGGTTCCTCTGGTCCGATAGTAATAGATAACTAGAATATGATTTACTATATTTCTGTGTTATTAATAGTCAAGCATCCATCCTTGTTGAACTCGACAAAGACAAGTACTGTCTGTAAATTAGAATATAAGCAGTGTTTAAAAAATAACCCCTGCACGCAAGTTCTTTTGGTAGGCGCAGGTGGTTTTGCATGTGTTTTTGATTCGAGTCAACAGAATAAATCATGTTTTTTTTCAAAGCCGTCTTCTCGAAGATGAATCTGCCTCAAAAGATCAGTTAAAAGATTTGTCACCTCAAGTGTTGTTCACAAGATCAATCTAAGTCACAAAATGCTTGGGATGTTTTGCAAACGCACATGGTTTACCATGTGCTTTTGGTCCAGCGGTTGAACAAATCATTTTTCAATGTCCCAGGAAGCTAAAGGATGGTAGATGAAATGCAATCTGCCTAGTTTTCAGGATAAGTTATGCTGAAATTCGGAAAGCAAATCAGGGTTCTTACATAAAGGTTGCCATTGACCTAAATTCCATGCTCGCAGCTAATGATTTTATGGACGTGTCGTGTCATAGGCCAATTTTAAGGTATACTATGCACGCTTGAAAATGTCCCGAAGTCACATTTTATTTCTATAAATATCCTGCAAAGCTCCTTCTTTTTTTCCAAATTCTGATCATTAAAAAGATGAAACCCCTCAAGTGAAATTACCTGGTGTCAGTATTTCCTTCTAAACTGACAGGAGGAATATGGCGGTCTAAATGTATGGCCAGGCATTTACAACTGAATTGTCAGGAAAGGTTTAAAACATCGAATCTAAGTGCAGAGACAGATTGAGTAATGAATCTGGAGTAGAAGAAAATTAGATTCGAAAAATCTTCCTAGTAGGACACTGAACCATTAAATATGAAAACTTTATTGAAGACTTGGTATTATGTTTTTTCTACAAGAACTGCATGTTGATGACCCACATTTATTTTTTTCTGGTCCTTTTGACATTCAGCTGAAGATGACCTATATGAAGTTTCATCATTTTCCATTAATTATTTTTTAGCAACAGCAACGAGTTTACACTTGTCTTACCCTTACCAGAGACAAAGATTGATTTTCATTGGATATTAACAAATATTTCTATGGCTAATTATGTGACATTTTCTGTGCTGTGCAGCGAAAACTTGTGCTGTAATGACCTGTCGTCGTCCATAGTAAGTAAAGTGGTAATAGACAATATATACAATTGATATCTGTAACTGTGGTTGAGTTTAAGTGTCATCGTTATAGAAAAGTGAGGTTATATAATAAAAGCGGGCTTGTTTGGCCAAATCAAGAACAATCGATATTCTTTGTTACCTTCTATCTTGTTATGAATGGGACTATGAAAGTTTGTGGTACACTGGGATGGAGGAGACATAAAGAATATTTCGTTGAGTTAAAGTACTTGTAAAAAGGAACTAGATTCGAAATATAAATAATGTTACTGCTATTTTTATAATAATAATAATAATAATAATAATAATAATAATAATAATAATAAGTATAAGGACAAGACGAAGAGGCGTAGGCTAAAGAATACGTAATATGCACAGTTATTCTCATTCCAAGGTCGTTCACGGTGCTCTCCTAACACACTGAGACGTGTGTATTATAACTGGGGGCGGCGGCTGGAAGTACTCCCGCCCGGGGAAGTTTTTATAGGATTAGGCTATTATCTGTGAGGTTTGATTTTTCATTTCTTAAGTATTGTCGATAGTGCATGTAACATATACGGCAATTACTCGATCTTTTCAAAAAGGGTATATTGTGGATTTTACAGATACTGTATTTTTAAGTCACAATTTCTTTAAATTAGAACTTTCCTATAGAGTGCTAAAAAGGCTACTCTGTAACTCTGTTCTTTGCAGTAAAATCCCCACAAATGCTATACAGAAATATAAGTTTTATTATCATAAAACTATGATTCAGAAAGTTTGACTATTTTTTGCCCATTGAAAAGATCGAATAATTGCCGTAGATATAGGACTAAGGCCTACTTATTTATCCCTATGCTATTTCTACATCTTTTATTATTGAAAAGCTGGTGGTGCTTTATTTTCAGATTTCTAAGAAATATATTAGACGACAAGTGCTGTTAATATTGTACACGGTATAATGAATACATTTCTGGTTTCAATATATATTCAATCTAATACAACTTTATATACTTTTTTGCCTAGATATGCTTTTTTGCATATTTCTTCTGCGTTTTTTATTTTTATTTTATTTATTTATTTATTTATCTATTTTTTTTTTTGGGGGGGGGGCTATCTACTTGTGGTTGATTTCTTGAGGTAATTATGCCGTTCTCCACCGATCATTGTAAACGTTAATCATAAGGGTACAGTGCCGGATTAAAAGGGGGAGTCAGGGGGGTCTTGCCCACCCCCCACCCCCCTTCGATTTTTGAAAAAATCACACGAAAGTTTCCCTCTTCAAATTAGAATTTTGACTAGCTGAAAGTTCTAAACTGTAGCAAAGTTCTAAACCGTACCAAATGGCACTGTTCGACCTCTAAAATACAACAAAATGTTTTTTTTTTTT